GGATAGGAGGCATTGTTCCTCTAGGGATTGCATGAAGGAGCGATGCGCCGCTATCATGGCGTCCACATCTGCAGAAGCAGAAAGGTCTTTTCCCAGGGAATGCGTCGCTGCAGAGATGACAAAATCCGTCATGTGACTGTATACAACGTTCAGGAACCAGAGCATGTTGTGTCTGAGAGCGTAGCTCAGTGTGTTGTTCCTTGAGTCTTGGATCTTATCGGATTGGTTGTTGTGCTGCAGTCGTTGTTTTACTATCGTGTGTTTGGCTCTGCGGAGTTGCATGAGGAATGTAGAGATTCGCCGGTAGCCCAAGAGAGTATCCTTTGTGATTATATTGGCTACAGGCCAAGGCAAGATGTAGTCGAATGAAATGGCATCCAGCACCTTGACCGAGCGGCTGCGGCTGACTGCATTGCTGTGTGCTTCTTTTGGTGTTCGGACGATAAGCCTAGAAGGATCGATGAATGGCAGGGTACTGAAGGCGCTTTGGGCCACTTCAGTGAGCAGGAATCGGTCGCTCCAAGCGCCTTTTCCTCTATCGATAAGTTCGAATATCTTGCTGTCAATTGGTCCGAAGATGCTCATATCTTTGCCGAGATAAATATACCCAAGTGCTTGTAGTGACGTCCATAAGCCACATTGCTGGCCAAGCTCCCTCCTTAGCAGAGCCGAAGTATGGGCATGGTTTTCGTCGACTAATCTTCCGAATGAAGACTCGAGTAGGACGGAGAACGGGAGGCAGATTGAGGAGGAGTCTGGCGGTAATACTTCGTCCAATGTTAAAGAGACCTTCCGTGGAATCTCGCCGTCCTCGGTCATGTTCAGATGTCGCAGAAAAACCATGCTTTTGCCAGTAATGAAGATATTGTGAGCAAAAGGTCGGATAAACTTCGGGGAATTCGAGAGCATCGAAGCCTTATCCAATGCGTACCAGTCATGCCATAACGTTCGCAGGTCACCGTCACTTTGACTGTTGCTTATGAAGAATCCAGCTACAGAATCGTCCAATTGGCCCTTTTCCATCCACATACGGATGGGATGTGCATAGGTTTCGAAGCATGAGAAGAACAATTCAGCAAGGGACTTGAACATGGCATCGTCACCAGCAGCTTGTGTCAGGCACACGAGATCATAAAGTGAGTCGAGGCATTGCGTAGCAGTATTTGAAGTGCTAGGCATTAAGCTAGACACAAGGTCAGACAACATCAAAGGCAGTCTGGACTCCCGCCCAACATCTTCAGAGAGCTGCAGAAGACTAATGGACACGATTGACGCCTGAGCAAGGTACTGGTGTTGCACGTTAGATAGAAACATATCGAACTTTCTTAGGCAGCTCTCCAGACCCCGGTGAAACGTTTGCATATAAGGAATCTCCTGTGGCGCGTTGCAAAATTGCCTAAGGACATCCAGTTTCGCTCCTGTCGAGCTTAGGGATCGCATTAATGAGAGAAATGCCTCATTCGACAGGTCTGCGATGGTAAATCTTCGGTCTATTTCGATATTACCATCAAATCGCCAAAACTGAGACGTAGGGAGACCTTGCAACATGAATATAGTCTCCCTTACTACCTGAAGCTCGGTAATGACTTGAGAAGCGGGACCAGCCTTGTCAGTGACCGGACTCTCCTTGTCTCTCCAAAATTGTGCTTTAGCAATCGAATCAATGAATTCATCATTTTCTCCAGAGGTGAAGACTTCGTCAGGGATCATATAGTCCTCCTCTGTCGTGACAGACGTTTCTGGTTGATTGCGTGTATGGTAGCTGTCAGTAGACACTGATGCAAGGTCCTCATCAGAGGAATCAGCGCCATAATCTACATCTTCCCAGATATCCTCGCCACAATATGCTGATCCAGCGGCGTCCAATTCATCCCAGACAAGTGCTTTCGCTTCCTCTCTGGGCTTGGCTGCTACCACTTGATCTACCTTGGACCGCTGCGCAGGGCGGTCTGCCAGCTGCAGCAGTAGAGATAGAATTTCGGGGAACCATGAGCTTTGGTGCTCTTGCAGCTCCGTTAGTCGGATACGCAAAGCGTCAGCCAACTCATCCCTACAAAGGACTTGGAATTTCTCCTGCAGCCCTTCAAGTTGGCTGGCGACGGCGAATTGATCCGTGCGCGCATAAGCATGCGACTTGAAAGTGTCTTCAGTCCGACGTTTTAAAGTCCTGAAATGTGGAGTGTCCTGGACAGGAGCGTCAGCATGAGATCTGCTTTACATTATGGGCTTGAGTGCAATGCCTTTCTATCGGACTTCGCAACGGCTATAATTAGCTCGTCTGTCAGCGCGCTCACATTGGCTGCGACGGCCATGATAGGCCATGGAGCAAGCGACAATTGCGGAAACTACTGAGAGGGGACTAGATAGATCGAACACACAAAGTCTCCATTATTATTGCTGGTTGCCAGGAGGTGGTTACGCGGCGTGGGCGGCAGATCGGAGACAACTAATGGCTGACGACTTGCCATCTTGGGCATGTGGTCACGCTAGGCCCGATGGGGGAAGGCGGCAAAGAATCCAGAGTCGCGGCGGCGGCGATAGCAACTCAAGTAGACTCCAAGTCTCCCTCTTGGTCTCGCCAGCTCTCCTGTCGCTCCTTCTCCTGCCATCTCTTCCTCCGGGGTTCGCTGACAGGCAAGATGGCTGTCGCAAGGCCCATTCGCATGCTGGGTGCCTCGTGCATCATCCTCATCCTCTTCCTCATCTTCCAGATGAACAAAACGCCCACCTTCATTAGTAAGGGGCCATACGCAACACAGCCGTATGAGGGCATAACTTCAGACCCTCTCAAAGAGCGTACGCTCCCCCAACGTCATTCTCTTGCCTTCTTTCGCATCATCTCTATTACCTCTGCTAACTCACTTTCTCATTTCCACAGCAACTGGAGAACCGACAGGCCATTTATGGCGTGCGACAGATGGCGACTATTCTCCCGACAGCACCGACTCCCCTCGGGCCAGCGCGGCACTGATCTCTCTCGTCCGCAACGAGGAGCTCAACGAGCTGATTCCATCCATGCGTGATCTCGAGCGCACCTGGAACAGCAAGTTCAACTACCCCTGGATCTTCTTCAACGACGTGCCGTTCACTGAGGAATTTAAGAAGCGCACACAGGCGGAAACCAAGGCGAAATGCTACTACGGTAATTAGACACCAATCTAACCCGACTGACATTTATTGTCTAACTTTTCCTTACAGAGCAGGTGCCCAAGGAACACTGGGAAGTCCCTGAGTGGATCAATTGGGATCTCTTCAAAGAGTCGGCGCAGATCCTGAAGGAGAAGAACATCCAGTATAGTGATAAGGTCTCCTACCACCAGATGTGCCGCTGGAACAGTGGCCTGTTCTACCAGCACCCCGCTCTTGCCAAATACCGTTACTACTGGCGAGTCGAGCCCAAGGTCAAGTTCTTCTGTGATGTGGATTACGACGTTTTCCGTTACATGGCCGACTACAACATTACATACGGTTTCACCATCAACCTTTTCGACGCTCCGGAGAGTATTCCATCTCTTTGGCCCGAGACCAAGAAGTTCCTCGCCGCAAACCCCTCTTATGTTTCGGACAACAACATGATGAACTGGCTCACTGATGACCAACTCCGCCCGGAGCACACCGAAGGAGGAAATGGTTATTCTACCTGCCATTTCTGGTCCAACTTCGAGATCGGAGACATGGAGTTCTTCAGGGGCGAGCAGTATTCTGCTTACTTTGACCATCTGGACCGGTCTGGTGGTTTCTTCTACGAGAGATGGGGCGATGCTCCTGTACATTCGATTGGTGTTGGTCTCTTCGCGGACGCAGCCAAGGTTCATTGGTACGTTAAAAATGCCCCGACTTGTTCGATAGCTATCTTACTTACGAGTTTGTCTTCGATTAGGTTCCGTGACATCGGTTACAATCACATTCCCTACTACAACTGCCCCAACTCACCGAAGTGTTCCGGCTGCACACCCGGCAAGATGTATGCTGGTGAATCTTGGCTGGCTAAGGAGGATTGCCGGCCTAGCTACTTCCACCATGTCGGAACGCACTAGACGTGCTAGCACAAAATAAAGCTGCATTTTATTCGAATTATATGTGCATAATAGCGGCGCAGATATTCTCCGCGCTCTTGAAACCGGTTCTGCAACAGGTGCAACGAACAGGTATCGTTCCCCTGGCGCATAGGCGTCATGATCTCGGCCTCGGAACCTGGGGGGTTCACCCCGGTAATAGAGATCTCGTGTCGTCCAGTGTTGCAGGTTGCCTATGCAAACCTCAATGCAAGTGTCAATCACGGCCTCATTTCCTTCTCCTATAACATACACCTTCATGACATGAGTCATTCAAAAATCAATATCAGAATTTCGGCGGCGTTTGACGGCTCGGTTCTTTTCATATATTCTTCCTTTCTTGTTGTTCCTACTATTTAGTCTTCGTTGTGTTATGCTACCTTGAAGAGGATCGCTGGAGCGGGCCTTGGCTGTATCTATATATATTCTCATACTGCTTCACGCTATCGATGCAATAAAAGACTCCTGAGTACATCAGATTAGATGCTGCTGTTTCCCACGGGTTAGCATTATAATTCGCCTTTTCCGTCTGTCCTCGCTTTGGTCAGGGCGCTCTTCTCTTCATACTGCTCCAGACTAAACAACTCGGTTCAACCCCTCCAGCATCTAGATTGAGCCCATCTCCAAGCAGATTATTGATGGAATGGAAAAGAAAATGACACCCTCTTATTTTCCGCACTATCACCAATAATACAGAGTACAGATAAATGCTCACAAAATTTATAGTAGCACTGGTATAGAAAAGCACGCGTGCACCTCCATTCCACCCCCAGACAATCAGGAAGTCGGAAGCAGATGGCGTTAATCAGAGACGGCCCACCGAATAGATCAGCGACTTCAATCGATTCCAACTGCACTCTAGAGTATGTATACAGCTTTCCTATCACAATTGACGGGGGAAGGAGCAAAATGAAACATGACGAGATATATGTCGGGACGTGCCGTTTACGCCTCCTCGGGGTAGAGCTCCTCACGGAGAGCAACACCCAGCTCCTGGCGGAGACCCTCAAGGGCCTCGAGGTATTGCTTGTACTGCTCCTGGGTCTCAACCTTGGCCTTGACACCTATTTGTAGAAAAGAGAGAGAAATCGTAAGTTCAATTGTCATGTAGAGGGAACGGTAATGAATGGGGGAGGAAAAAGCGCACCCTCGAAGATCCGGACAGCGGTGGGGTAGTCGTTGACGCGACGAGCAGCCTTCAGAGCAGCGGTGAGGACCTCAACGGAGGGAACGAGATCGTAGGCGAAGCAGTTGTTGAGATTACGCTAAATGGAGGGAAGAGTAACTTGTCAGCAATGATGTCTGATATGGCGCCAAGGGGGTGCGGACGGTCCGGTTTTATCTGCCAATGGCAGCTTTGCTGATTATATGGGGGAGGGAATTGATAGGGACGGATTGGAATCGTGCGGCATGGGCAGATTAGCTTACCTGGAGCTCGAAGACATCCTGGACACCGTCGAATTCCTTCTCGAATCTACCGAAATATTGGGGTTAGTTATACGGGTGGAATTCGCGGGTTGGTGTTGTATCATCAGGAAAGATGTGTGGATTGTCTCGGAGGCTGGTGGTGGGAAGCCCTGGGATCGGGGATCGTGCAACGCAGGGAGCGTCGGAACCCAATGGCTTCACGGAAGGTAATTGCATACCTGGCAGAGAACTCCTCGTATGTCTCGTCCTCGTGGTGACCGCCGAAGCGCTTAGCGGAGGTGCTGAAGCTGGGACGGGCGATAGCCAGAGCAACGGGGGCCTGCACCCGGGGACGGGGCAATTGAGCAGCTCTGATGAAGCCGGAAGGGCGGACGGCACGGGTCGCGACGCGGAAGACGGAGATGGGCGACATGGCGAGAGGAGGGTGGGTTGTGGAGGTGGACGAATGGACGTGGGTGAGGGGAGATCAGGACGGGCGAGGTGTTGACGAAGTTCGAAGTCAGAGGTTCTGCCGGCTACGCTAGGATTTTGCGGGTGGTGTGAGGTTGTTGCTGCCTCAGGCCGGCAGTCAGGTCAGCCCGTCATTGATAATCGCCCGCTTCTCTTTTGCGGCTTGCGGCTTTCCCGTTCGCGCCCGAGTCCACGGATACCTCAGGCATAAATAGGCATGCTGTCATTCGCTGCCTCAGGTCTCTCCCCCATCCGGATTTTTATATGCCGTTGATGATTGGCGGATGTCGATGTGCCCTGATTGTTAGTTCTGATTGGCTGGTCAGTCCATGCCTCGGAGCGACTTGGACAAACATGACTAATCACCACCAAACAAGTTATCAAACAAGGTCACGGTATCAGATTCAGGGACTCGCGCTTGAAATGAAGGTTCTCCTGGTGGTCCGCGTCCCGGGACTCCAACTGCGATCTTTTGAGTTTACACCCCCATGTGGCGATCCTTATATCTCCTCCAAGCCTCAAATTTGAATCAATCCTTTGTCTCCAATGTAATCTACTAAACTTGATGCTGCTACTAGCAAGGACTGATGCTCCTATATGGTACTGATCGAACCAGCCGTCTCCGTTATATATATTTGGTTTGACTCGGAGTTCGGAGTAGTACAACATCACAGTTTGTTGACAGGGCTTCTCGAAAACCAATGGAATGCGTCAGACATGTTTTACCTTGAATTTAGATATCCTTGTAAAGATCTAAGACCATGCGCATTGCATACATTGGAAATCTGGATCGATCGGGTTTCAGAAGGTTGCGGCAAGTGCCCTAGGGACCCTGGTTATCTGTTTCAATTTACCATTAAAGCTTGCGCCCGTTCAAGTTCCAAAATTGAGACGAAGTAATTCAATGTCTTGGCAATAGGCTATCCTAGCACGTAGTCACGCTTTCTGCCCAGAGTGATTGACTACTAATGTCTGTATTGAGGCTGATGAAGAATGTACAGTATGTATCTAAGCGAGAGGCAGACCAAGCATGTGAACGGGAAAGTGAGGTGGTCTGTGATTTCCCCAGAAGGTCGAACATGTTTGACGGAACCAGTGAACTGCCGACTATTAGTGGCCAGATTGATACATCCCAATCTAATTTGAAACGGCACATCTGGGGCACACCCCTCTCAACGTGCCTGGCAACTCCATCGATATGCAGGAAATGTTAAGCTTGAGGATAAGATTAACAGACAATGACGCTGAAAGCAATTAAGCCAAGGACTGTAGCGGCGGACACAAAATTCAGTGCCTGGGAGACCCGGAGGCCGGAAGGCACATGATCGCCGGGCCCTAGAGCAAAATGCCCCTTTTCAACCGCTGGCCGAGGCTGCACTAGTCCGCATTCGGACCCTGCGGGCGCGCCGGGAAGCCCAAAAAAAAGACACGCGGATTGATCCTCCTTCCATTTGCAAGGCAGGCCAGCTCTTATTCCACCCTCTCCACCTTTCCTTCTGCTTCTTTTGCTTCTTCCCTCCTCTTCTCCTTCCTCTGTATCCCCCTCAACCTCGATTGCTTCGCTTCTTTCCTTCCTTTTTATCCTCCTTCTCGTCTGCTTTTCTTCTTTTCCCTTCTTCTCCCCCAGTTCCTTCGGCTATTTCGGTCCGCATTCCTGCGACCAGTTGAGAAAGCGAAAAAGGGAGCGTTCCGCTGTCATTCTTCCGGAGTTGTTTCTCTTCGACTGCACTGTCGCATACATTGCTTCGTCTTGATACCTTGAGGTTTCCGTTCACCATGGATGTTCTGCAAAGTCTGCCTTTGCCGTCAATTGACCGGCCCTTTGGCATTCACCTATGGCCTATCTTCGACAAGGCCTTCGAGGTGGTGGTGGGCTATCCCGCCAGCGAATTTCGCTTCGAAGAAGGCGTGACGCCCATGTCTACTTTCAAGGAAACCGCCGTGGCGCTCGTTGCCTACTATGTCATCATCTTTGGTGGCCGTGAGTTCATGAAGAACAGACCTGCCTTCAAGCTCAACACTCTCTTCATGATCCACAATCTTTACCTCACCCTGATCAGCGGCACTCTCTTGGCTCTCTTCATTGAGCAGCTTCTCCCTACTGTCTGGAGACATGGTATCTTCTATGCTATCTGTGATCACGACGGTGGATGGACGCGGCCTCTTATTGTTCTGTACTACGTAAGTACTTACGGCGCTGGACAAGTATTGCTCCGATCGATCCAGTATGCTAATGATATTGCCGAATAGCTCAACTACTTGACCAAGTACCTCGAACTCATCGACACTGTCTTCCTGTTCCTCAAGAAGAAGCCTCTTACCTTCCTTCATACCTACCACCACGGCGCTACGGCGCTTCTCTGCTATACCCAGCTTATTGGTTTGACTGCGGTTCAATGGGTTGTCATTGACATCAACCTTCTGGTGCACGTCGTCATGTACTGGTACTACTTCCAGAGTGCCCGTGGTATCCGTATCTGGTGGAAGGAGTGGATCACCCGTCTCCAGATCATTCAGTTCGTTATCGATCTCGGTTAGTAACCATTTCAAGCTCCGTCCTCGCTTCAACTAACCGGATTGCAGGCTTCATCTACTTCGCTTCCTACACCTACTTCTCCTCTACTTACTTCCCCTGGGTTCCCAACATGGGCAAGTGCGCCGGCGAGGAGTTTGCCGCCTTCTCCGGCATGGCTGTCATCAGCTCTTACCTCTTCCTTTTCATTTCCTTCTACGTCGCAACCTACAAGAAGGCTGCCAAGGCCGGCCGTCCCCGCCGCAACACTGGCAAGCAGGCTGTTATCGACATGGCCAAGTTCGAGGTCTCTGCGCCGCACGCTGACGCCAAGGGCAACAACAAGTCCAACGGAGCTGCTGTGTCGACCGGTCGTGCCAATGGCCCGGTTACCCGCTCCCGCAAGGCTTAAGTCATGGGATCTCATCTCATTCATTCAGGGAAGCGCAATAGCGCATCTCTCGATGCTCGCTCGCTCGCAACCTGCCCTTGCGAACGATGTCTCAACCCCACTTATCTTTATTCTCACGCCTCTGCCCATGTTGGCAAACTCACGGCTTAGCGACGGGGTACCAACCACACAATGCCCTTGGATTCCACCCTTGATGTTTCACACCCGGCACCCCAAAACTTTATATTTATTTAATGAATGAACCTGACGACCCTGGTCGCCTTGCTTTGCGACCAGCTTATGCATATGGCACCGCTGCTTTGCAGGGAAGGCGCCAAGCTAATCCCAGCGAGGGCGTATTGGAGTGGGTGAAATTCTCCCTGGGGATACGTCAGGCAAGATAACCTGCCCTGGCTGTTTCCAGGCTGTATTCTAGATGTTTTTCTACTTCTTCGGGCAGTCGTTTGTGCGCTGCTGGATGTTGATTGACCTTTCCGACGCGATTCCTAGTGGAGCATTATAGACGATAAGGTCAACGTAAATGTAATCATGGTTATGTGTCTGCTTAATTGATCTTTACCTGTACATAATTGATTGCTAATAATCACAACGCATTGTTCTGTTTACCACACTTGTTGGGTATGAGTGCACGACTAGTCTTGGCCGTCAAGAACGAAGGAGAGTCGAAGGAAGATTGCGAAATAGAGATTGAGGGACGAGGAGTCGGGCAACGCAACGGCTGGCTATTGAAAGCCATCGGACGGCCTGTTAAACGACAAGAAACGAGAAACGGCCGGGCGGGCAGTAATTCAATTGACTATATGGTAGACTGACTGCGGGAGGTTGGGTTGATGTGCCATTTGCCCATCGGTTAATCACATTCGTCAACAGTATTCCCGGGGGCAACCGGCGGTCAACGGGCTCCCTGTTTTTGAGATTCAATTGAGGTTGCTTAATGGGATGACAGCATGACAGGCGCAGAATCGCGATGCTCGCTAGGAGATCGGAGTTGCTGGAGTGGCGGGATCGACCCTCAAAAGTAACTCCGAGCCGAGATCGTCATCTCAACTATCACACCTCTCGATGGCCAGTTTCTCCACCTCCCTCTCAGCTATCTGCTGACAATAAGGTACAATATGCATGCATAATTATGGTTTTCAACCTTCTAGAGCATTCTGCTGAGCGGAAATATCTAAACTCAGTTATAGGTGAATAATCATCATTTACTTGTCAATTGCTAACTCGGTCTCGAACTGGAGGGCGAATACTATCGTAAATGACTATTGCTACTATGTATAGGCGCCATAATCTAAGCTATAAGCCCGACCCGGGAGTGGCTCCAATGGGCTGAAAGCTTATCACTGCCACCTCGACTTCTCGTGTCCATTGCTCCTGTGAATTCCTCGATCTTGCAGTCGGCTGGAGCCGTGGATCCTGCGCAGATCCAATGGTTCATGCAGCTAAAGCGACAGTGTCCTTTCTCATCTGCCTAACATCTCCACTCTTTGCAGAGTACGCTGTCTTGCTACCACGAGCTGGTCTACCTAATTACTTGGTCCGTGTGGGATCGCCCAATAGACGATGCCAATGGCTTGGACTATGAGATCTAGACGCAGTAGTTTGGGGTTTAGCCTGCCTAGTTGCTATTTTCTTTTTCACAATGGCCAGCGATACTGAGCCGTATGGGTCCATTGCTGCATTGATGCCAGAGTCCGATACGGCTTTGGTGATGATTCTGTTGAGGATCAACGTGAGTAGAGCAGAGCACTGACCTCGCTATTGTGCTCCATCGAGGATCTTCACGTTCGGATGAGAGGAGCTCAGTGATCCGAAGTATCCAGACCATGATGCCATGGGCTCTGGGAACAGCATAAAAGGGCCCTCGATTCCTGCCCTTCTGTCTGAATTCCATCCAGCATCACAGTCACATCATCTCTCCAACCCTCTACAAACAAACAACACTTTCACTTTAGTTTTTATAACTAATCTTTACCACTACAACCGACACCATGCGTTTCTCCGTCATCTCTGTTTCCCTCCTCTCCCTCTTCGCCTCCTCGGCTCTGGCTATCCCCTCCGCTTCCGGCACCCTGAGCTGCAGCGATGTCAGCTCTGAGCTCTCTGGCTACGAGCAGCGTCTCGCAAAGGCCACCGACACCAGCTCTCCCAAGTACCAGGCCGCCCAGAACCTGATCGACTCTGCCAAGAACCTCGAGTCTGCCGACTGCGGCAGCTCCAGCAAGAGATCCTACTACCCCCCCGAGAGCACCGGTCTCATTGGAGAGATCCTGAACGCTGTTGACTCGCTCGTGAGTATCCCTTCCATAACATAGTGCCGGTTTATGATATCCCATCTGACTCGACTTGGCAATCTAGCTCGAGGCTCTCGGTCTGTAAACGACCAACCTATCACCGAGAAGCGCGACGCTCGACGTCGCGCCTGGGATCGTCCCGATCAAGTTCCCTCGCAGAGTCGCCGGACGATGGAGGGATGCAATGTTCAGGATGACCTCGGTATAGGTTTTTTCCTGAAGGGTTTCCCTATATCATATTGCAAATGCAGGGGTCAGGGATATTTCTGAAGGGAATAATGGCGATGTTTCCTATGTTAATAATGGAGATGCACGGGTATAGCTAATAATAACAACCTGTCTATTGAACTGTTCTTGGTAAAAGTGTAGCGAACTGTAGCTTCCGCTTAGTTGTAGTATATTCATTGGTATCATCCGCTCCGGTTATTTCAATCTGATCCGACACATGCTTTTTCCTATAAAAGAGCATGAGTGTAGTCATGAGTCAATTTCATTGAATGGGACCTTGCGCATGTGTCGAAAGTTATATAGAAATCTGGTGTTATTATGAATGAATTGAAGATGACTCGATGTTGCTAATCAACCAATTGAATGTTGTCATCGAGGAGGATGCCGTGAAGTCGCTGCCAAGGGACAAACAAGAATACCAGATCTTCGAAACAAAGTTAGATTGTGCGCAAATATACACATTGTTTATTAAGTATTGTTGAATGATAAACGCATAAATACTACTTCCCCATCTCCAAATCTGGTAAGAGCATACAGACCTCCACATCAGGAAGTATACCACACAGGTACCTCCTGCCACCTTCACAGCTCGATTGAAAACAGTTGTTCCGTCATTGTCATCAACAAGATCGTTAACAATGCATTCTTACAGATCCCACGTGGTCAACCAACGAACAGAACCCATCATCACTGGACTCGCTTTGTGAGTTCCTCAGCACTCCTCGGTCAGACCAACAAACTAGTCGACTGGGAGTGCTAGAGTTCACCCATCCGAACTGTCCACCTGTTTATCGCAAGATTGACCATCAGTGCTTGTTGCGCGACCTTGTCTCTGAAGAAACAAATCTTACAGAGTCAGGTTCTCTGTATGGCCGAATCGTACTGGTTGAGAATATATCGCGTGGTATCGTGGAAATCCTGGGCTCGACCCTGGGTATTGATCCGTTGTTCTTCAAGGCTCATATTGGACGCAATGGCTGCTCCAGGAATCCGATGTTTGAATATGCAGATGATTCAAGCCAGCAGTTCCTTACGTGCCACTACCCTCGAGCCATTACGCTGGAGGGCGTACAGGGATCTGTTGAATCTGAGAATTATGTGAGGCAGATAAATGTTGATAGGGATGCCCTCCTTCTACATTCGACTCCAGAAAACACATTCAATGCGCTCATTCAGCATCGCTGCTCCGTCTGGGTAAAGTCTTATCAAAGTGGTGGTTGGCTTGGTATGTATATCGTTATATATCTTAGTATTATCTCTATTAAAATGAAACGCTAACAGCAACAGCCTTGATCCTAGTTGACCCACCAGTCCTCAATGGTGGTTTCCGACTTACCCCAGAAAGTAGTGCAGTGCGTCCCATTACAACCTCTGGCTGTCGACTCTTCCAGGGTGGCAACGGAGACACCACCGGTACTCTCCTACCTGACGAGGGAAATCGGCTATCTGACCCTTTCAGCGAGGGAGATAGTTCATCTTGTCCTCCTCGAGACGGACTATTTGATGATCTCATTTACTACTGGACGAATAGACCCGCATCGTTCTTCGACATCACCAGACCTCCGATGAGTTTTCTGGCTTACTCCCCCATCCAGATAGCCCTCGCCGAATGGAAGAACAGCCACATTGCAATGGTCCTGTTTCTCCGACACTTCGACTCGGAACTGATCAGAAGGGCAGTCAGAAAGAAGCTTGCCGAAATCAAGAAAGATCCTGAAGACTGCACCCGTCCACCCAAGCAATCTGAGTCTAGCGTCTCGAACTTAACAGGCTTCCGCCGCTGGTTCATGTCCACCATCAATCCTCCTCAAGCTCACGATAAAACTACCCAGCCCCGCAAGAGCTCTGAAAAGAAAACCCGCAAAATCTATCGGTCTGACCCTATGTTCCAGATCTTCATGACCATGCGAACTTGGATCATGCCCATTATCACGCAAAACTACCGGGATATCAAGTACCTTAGATCCCAGACATTAGCCCTTCCACCCATTATCGACTCTTATGATGACGTTATTAATAGCCTAGGACAATTCGCCTCGGCCCTTGATACAATCTTACCCTGTGGTAAGGAGTTCGCCAATGACCGTACTAACACCATCATACCCTACCAGCGTAACTTTTGATTTCTATGGGATATAGTCAGAACTCGTCTTTTTTTATTCTGTGCAGGCGGTATACGTGACGCTCGTGCTGGGTTGACTATATAGATTGGCTGACTATCTTTGTAGATTGGTTCAGCAGTAGGTGTGTGCTGAGATGGCTAACATTCGATAATATAATTGTTACTTTGTTCTTGACCTGACTAATCTTACAATAATCAAACAAGGTTATTAAGTAATTTGATAGAATAAAACCATGCACCGTGTAGCTTCTCTGTGATACTTGAAGCAGATTAACAGCCTGCGTAAACCACTACAATTCATAGCCATACACAAGGGATGGAAATAGAACCCCCACCCACTCCATCTCAGACACTGACATCATTAACTATTTCAACCACGGTTAACCAGAAACATCTGTCACATCGAACATTCTCTCCATAGACAAGACGTGACCTACTTTTACCCTGCAGAATGCCATACCGGTCACCTATCTATACTCACGATCAGAGATCCTAGGTATGCAGGACGACCTCACTCCCTCCCTTACCCCTCCATACCATCACCACCTACATACCCGATCTACCTACCTTGATTCAAACTTAACAATAAGCATAACCATCACACGATCAATCAAAACCAGGGATGGATAGATAAAGCAGACGCAAAGAATGCTTGCTACTTGCGGAGGTAATCAGTCAGTCAGTCAGTCAACCGCGTAGAATGTGCCAAGACCCAGACACCTACGGAGTAGGTACCTCCCTTCAACCCCTCCTTGATTCCTTATCCGCACTTGACACCTCCATCCTTCCATCCCCCTCCTCCTCCTTTCTTGTACAGAGAAGATAACCAAGTAGGCTAGGCTACTTACACGTCCAACGCACGCATGCCATACCTCACGCCCCCATGTCCCACGACTACCCCCTCCCCTTAGCTCGGTAAAGCAAAAAAGAAGGAGAAAGAATCCTTCCCCACCCACTTTACCCACCCACCACCTGTCATATCATATCATTATCCATTTGCCAAGGCAAAAACATGGCATGGTATGGTATGTCACCCTCCCCTTCTCCGACGAAAAAAAAAGCCTTCTCTTCCACCTTACCCAACAAGTAGCAAATCCACTTACCTAACTTAGTTTGATTCCGACTCCACTATACCTGCTGCGTACACTATACCAATAGCAGTGAGTGCTAGTATGTGTGGAACTGGAACTGGGACTGTGGTATAAAACGGCCATGCGTCGATTCGGTAACGGTAACCGCACTAACGAGACAAATTCTGAAGAAGAAGGGGAAAAAAACAGGGATTAGAGTCGATAGTTCAACTTAGCTAGCTAGCTCAAGTGGAACTGGGAGGGGGGTAACGTAGCACTAAGTAAGATGGACATGGACTGGGGCGTTCAATAGTTGCTACCTTTTTTATCTTGTGTACTTGTGCTAGGTAGGTTACTATGTGGGTGTGACGGTGGTGATGGGGTATTGGTAGTGGTGGCTGTTTCTAAAAATGTCCCTCTTAGTATCATTTAGTTGTACAATAAGGACTATCTAGCTACCTAGATTGGTGAAGTGCGCCGTTGGAATGACTCCACTGGTGGGGAGTGGGATGTTAGCACTTAGCTGTCTTGGTGCCATGGTGGGTAATCCGGAGTGTATGTCTCTATCTGTCTTTGGATTCCGTAGTATAAGTAAAAGATTGCTAGTGTGTGGACTGTGGAGGGACTGTGCCGAGTAGGTGGTACGTGATGAGAAGAGGTGACAGTAACATGTCCCCCTGTCCCGGCAACTTTCTGTCTTTCACGCAGCAGACAAGACATGTAATTCTCCCCTGAGTGATATTCAGTCCGCACCCCCTCCTTCTGCCTAGCCTAAAAGGTATGTAAGCAAAGTAACCCGACTCATCACATCACACAGACAGGATAATCCCCCCTTCCCCAACAAGTGCAGCCACCCTCCAATTTTATTCCAACTGTCACACAAACCTAGTCTACTAGGAAAATAGTAGTGGACACACCATGCAAGAAGGTTATTGTCCGAAGTTTCATCATTGAGCGTTGGTGCGCCCTCATCCATATATAGCTAACCTGAAACGCCCATTATAGCGCTAATTGGTCATTGAGACACCCGGAGGTTTGGGATCACCCAATGTTGTACTACAACAGAGGTGTTTCTTATCTGCACATAGAAAATCAATATATTGAGTATGAGGAGCCCAGCTTTTTGTGAGAACTTGTAGGATAGGGCATCTTTGCCGGTAACCTTGTTTGAGGCTTGAGCTGTGGGTGTGTGTGGGTGAGTGTTTCATGAACCAGGTCCGTCGACGTAACTTTATTCGAACAGGTTCGCGCGATACGAAGCTGGATGTTGCTGCAGTTGTTTAACAAGTTAAAGGATTGTCCATGCGATGTGACGAATGTATACATAATGGCTGGAAACCGGTTTCCTAGAGTTTAAAGCAGCAGCCTGAACCCAATGGATATAGCGTATCATTCAGGGGCGTGATATCGCATCCCCAAAATAAACCTCCATAGAAGGGCAGAGTGAGTGGTGGCAGCCATAAACTTCACGTCCACGTCAGGCTCGAGTCAAATCATCGTGTCTGGGTGGTTGGGGGGTACGTGCAGATGATACGTCTGGTGATGTGCACTGACATGCGGGTTGGAAAAGTCTGGAGATATATCATGGGGTTGGAAAGTCAAATGAGCATTGGCGTCGGTGGCAGTGATGATTATCAACTCAATCTTGCGCTAAGACCAGCGACAATGGACATTCTGGTGAGTTTGTTTGCGCTGTGGTCGCTTGGCTGGGACAAAGTAAATCAGCGAGAAGACCACTTGAGACGAAGTAAGGAGGAACAATAGTATAAGTTAAGAGATGCTAAAAATATACTATACTTCACCTCATGGAGTAAGTATCCAGTAGTCGAGGCGATAAGGGGACTTCCGTGATGTCCTTGCTCCGTCGATGCCCGGCATGAAGTTCTGTAAGTATGTATGTCTTATCTGTAACTGTGCATTGCATCCCAGCCACATGCGCCCGTTGGCGATGATGGAGAGAGCGAGCTAGCTAGCTAGCTAGCTCCCTATAATCTACTCGGTACACACTACACATACTGTACACAATTTAGGAAGGACAGATAATCCTTTGTCAAGAACGGAGTCTCCCACCGTGCCGAAATCCGTATCCGCTCATGCAGTGAGCAATTAGCTTAACAGTTAGCAGTTAGCAGTTTAGCAGTCCATCCCCCTTGGCCGCCCCCCCCCCCTCTCATGCCGCTCGGCTGTTTCACACTGCAACCACCGTTAGCTGCGTTCCTGCATAAGTTCGGAGGAGGTTCGGCCGTTGACTTTTTCTCACACTCTGCTCTGCTCCCGTCTCCCACTAAAAGAACAATTGATTAGAGTGAAAGTACGTGTATAGACGGAGACTAAACGCGGTGATGATCCGACAATCATATCTATTTCGGGGTGTCGTTAATCTACCGATGACGCCCGATGATTTTCCAACCGCCTCGGCGGGGATCATCGACGGTGTGCACTGATGGATTGGATTGGATTGATTGATGGATTTTCCTCAACCTATTGCCTTATTTTCCTTCTTCTACTCTGTACCTAGTTAAGTAGTACTGGGTAGTGTATGTATGATTACTTTTGTTTATTTACTCAATTGTTGGGGGGGGTCTTCCCCTTACTATATGTTGTAGTCCTGGAGATCTGTTTAATTTGTTGTGTTACCCGGTGATCTCACTTGCTTATTATACTACCACCACCAGCATCTCGACTCCGTAGGTGGATGCAGAACCTCCCTTGGATGCATCCCGTCTGCAGGGAGGTCCGCGTCTATTGCTGCGGGTATCTAGCAGTCCATGCGAGAGAGAGAGAGAGAGTGTGTGTGTATGTACCAAAGAAAAAGCGAAAATTCTCCCATTCGACGGTCGGGCAATTGAATAACCCCATCACGGCATGAACCGGACCACCCACTGAAAAGTGGGCATAGAGTGGGAAGAGGAAGAAAGGGGGTGGGAACGCACGTAAACAGAAGAAAAGAAAAAAAAAAAAAAAAATAAGAAAAATTTACGAACACCGGGCGGGAAGATAGTTCCCTAATTTTTTTTCTTTTTGATTTTTTTTTTTCTTCCATTGCTTGAGGGGTCTGGTGTGTTTGAATTAGACATGCTCCACTGGGCTGGAGCAGCGGCGTTGCTTGGGAGTTGGGAAACGGTTCCCGGAGTTCATCCAATGCCAGGAACCAGGGGCAGGAAATGTATCAGATTGAGATGATGACGCTTATGTTGATGTTTGCTGATAACGGGTTGTTGTTGGGTGTTGGTGTAGTACCGCAATCGATGGAAAATTGGGATGATGACTGCGATCGAGATCGAGGTTGAGGAATAGACAAGATAGTTAGTGAATCCATCCTACTTTAGACTAGGTCTATCAAAAAGATGGGATCAATGCGCCGTGTCATTTCTCTGGGGGACTTTCCCAATAATTAGCAACCACCCGCTAAAAAGGGGATCCTCCACTGCCTGCGAATTCTGCAGTGGATCCCCAACAACGCTCGACCACTTCGCTCTGCCCCGACTAAAGCTGTGACTAAGTAAGATGCTAAGTTAGTTACGTTAACTAACGCCGAGAACGTAAAAGCGTGCATCACAAAGCAACAAAGAAAAGATGACTTAAGATAATAATATGAAGGATCTCAAGGGTTAGAAAGGACAGGGGAAAATACAGGCATGATGAAGAATTGCATCCACATGGCCCCAATTGACTACGGATTGCTGGATTCTTGGCGGGAGTAAAAGCAATCTAGATGTGGCCGCCATCTGCACGCCACGCCCATTCCATTTGCATTTGGAGATGAAGAGTTTAGTTTAAACTGGCAGAGAAAAAGTCAAGCACTGACCTTTGACCTCCCGACTGCGCCCGTGGACACGTCTAATTCGTTTGCCCTTTTCCCCATCCATCCAATATCGGGTCCCGTGGCGCTTGACTCCTCTCCAGACTTTTTCCTCCCCGGCAAACGAGTCCCGAATTTCTTGGATAGCTTTTTTTTGTTCCTTTTTATTTTATTCTGTTTACTTTAACCTTCTCCGTCTTCTCCGTACTCCGTACACAGCAAGATAGTTACTTATGACCGAGCCCGACTATCATTGCTGCTCCTGGCCAGGGTTTTAGTCAAGAACCGCGCATGCAAGGGTTGTCCACGTCCCTGATCCCGAGCATCTTGAGGCAACGGACCACTTTTTTCGCTGCTGCAGGAGAGTCAGGTAAGGATGGAGAGAGGACGTAAGCACGCCCTCCCCTCATTCCCGTGAAGCTTTAACGCGGCTCGTCCTGGATTCTTAGGGGTCACCAACACGTATATTCGAGATAGGCGAGGCACAGGAGTAAGTCCAGTAAGTGTAAAGCGCCTAAGTTTGGTGGTGGCGCACGTGTCATGCACACTTGCTTCTTCCCATTCCCTGCAAATTCCCTAACTATTTCCCCTCCCTTTTAGTTAGTTGGTTTGTTAGTATCGTAGTATCCTTCGTCACGGTGGATCTGCTCATGGTCCGTCCACTCCGGAGGTTGTGTGATCGAATGGCATTTCGGTGGCTTCGTTCAAGACAAACCTCCAGGGTCGGATCCACTCCGTTTCGAGCATGCCATCCCGTGTGGTCAATATACCCTGTCTGGTCCCTGTCCGGTATATTTGATATCCGTTTGCCTCCTGTCGGCTCTTACTGGCTTCCCCTGGCGGATTTTTTTCAACATCTATTTCTGTGACGCTTCATCTCTCTCTTCATCTCTCGTCATCTCACGTTCCTTTCACTCCTCCTTTCCTCGTTGCTGTTATTGTTGCATGGGTGACCCTTGACAACACTAACTGCATTGCTACCATCCCTCTCACCTCTCTCACCTCACCCATATCCCCGTCCATATAATCTTTCATTATCGACCTCGGGGGCGTACAGAGGATCCCCTTTTTTTTAATTAATTTCTTTTTATCATCTTTCCTTTTTCTTCTTATTTCTTAAGATCCTCTTCCTTCCCATTCTACATCCATCCCTCCTCAACTACCCAACATGTATTCTACTACAGCACCTCTTGATTTGGATTATCTCAATGAACAGTTGCTTCCCCGGCGCTACGAATCGGAAGAAGAGGAGACGTCAGAATCAGAATATGGGGCCCATGACCATGCCTTTTCGCCTATCAAGACTGCCGGTCCCTTCGACTCGGATACCAGTGCAGATGAGCTTTCCAATGTGAATTCCCCAGAGTCGCCAATCGACAAGTCGTCATTCGCCCGCCTCCTGTCAGCCTATCCATCCGGCAAACAAAGTCGACCCGTATCCATGGATACGGTGAAACGAAGCAGTGGAACGACATTTGTACCAGATTCGTACATTTTTGACGACGATGACGACGTGATCATTGAATTGCCCTCCCCTAGTGCTACCTCTCCTTTGCAATCTCCCATCTTCCTTCAGCCCACAGTCTACCAACCCCCGGCGTCTCCCCTGTCGCAACAGTCACGATCTCCGTCTCCGGCCCTCAGCGAGTCGGATGAAGAGACAGACGTGCTCGTAGCAGAGCAGGTCAAATTTGTGGAACCCTGCGCCAAACCTAATCTAATCCTAATCAGTCCCGTCACCGACGGATCAGTGGTCGAAGAACCTGAACCCATGTCGGCAGTTTCTGCTGTTTCTGCAGACGTTCCCGATCGCTTCCCACCGGGCCAAGGACTCTATTCCTTGAACCAGGGAACCAAATCACAGCCTTTGTTGAGCGACAAACGGCCCGACTACCTGGGTCACATCAAGCGCGGCAGCTTGCAGCTGCACAGCAAATATGCGAAACAAGCCCCCAAACGGGCCGATACGGACCCCTTCACAATGCCCCGAGCTCTTGCGGACGTTCCTGAAACTACCCAGCCGATGACCATGCGCTCGCGTGCTATGACGTGGAATCGACCACAGACGTCCGCCGACAGTGCATCGAACCGCGGTCCCAAAGCGGGTCTCCTCCGCCGTCCGCCATCTATGCAAAGTGTCGGTGGTGCTGGTGGTGGTTACTCTCTGTTCCCGAGCACCAGACGAACCCCTGCATATCCTAGCGATGAGTACCATGCTCGGTCCACCTCGGTGTCCCACTCGATCGCCAGCTCGGACATGAGCCAGCCACCCTCGCGCACATCCAGTCCAGCACCATACTACTCCTCGCCTACATTCAACCGACACCGCTCGGGTTCATCATACAGCGTGTCGAGCGTCCCCGGCAACATCTCACAGCGGCCACCATTGCGTAACTCGATCATGAAGAGCTCAACCGCATCGAGCGTATACTCAGCCAGCAGCCTGCGATCGGAAGTGGAGAGCGTGCACAGCCTGGAACCACGGGAAACCGCCGAGACAGAAGTTGCCAAGACGGCGCGGCGGAAGAAGAGTTTTCGGCGCAGCAAGCAACCTAAGCTCGAGAGCACGACAACCGAACCGCTCCCAACAACTCCCAAGAGTTTCATGGGGTTCATGCTGCGAGGGCGGAGAAAGTCCACCATTCAAAAGTCCTAATGCTTAATTTTGTTTGTCAATTTTTTGGAACTAGTGTTTCATATTCATCTGTTTAACTACCGATTTGGGGCAAATCGGCTATGACGGCGTTCGGTTAGCGGGATTAAGGGTTTAGGGATCTGGGTCAGGCGGCTACTTTGATCTGAATTTGGTTTTTGTTTATTCGCACTGGATGCTACTTTCCTGCTACTATATTACTCTAGTGTTTTATTTTCTGTACTATAAGAAGGAAACAAACAGCAGTGGTCTTCCCGGAGTGGGCCCATTCAAAAATGTTGAACATACCATCTCTATCTATCAATCTTTCATTTCCTCCCGCGTACGTACAAAGTAGACGAACAGTAAAGTGACTCGAGATCATCACGCAAACAATTGCATAAGTACCCGTCACGTCAACCATCACCGAATCGAATCTTCCACGATCCTTCCATCGGCAATCCATCTGCGGCACCTACCGCCTTCATCCACGGGAACGAACCAACCCAGCTGACCGGCCCAAGATTTGGGTCAGATCTGGATATGGGAAAAGATGGCGATGAGATCTGACTCGTTCCCCGATCCACTTCATCTCGGTTGCGATCTACGTACCAAACATTGCCATTGAGATTGTAGTTGCCTGTTGCTGTCTGCTCGTATACCTTTGCCTTCTCATACACGCACCTCTCTCCCTCCTTTGGAGATTTCAATACAATTTAAGACAGATATAATCAACGAATGACCCTGAACCCCTATCCCCGACCCCAACATAATCTAATTATATTGAACTGAATGAGCGTATAGATTAAGATCGCCCAACCAATAAACATAGTATATTAAAACATAATCTACGAATATATGAACCATATATTGGCGCGGCAAGCAACTAGAAACTAAATAGATAGTATATGGATCGTTCTTCGGCATTTCATTTAGACTACGTACCCGTGCATCCAGATCCAAGTTTCAGGGTACGTAGACAGGATAAATTCAAATGAAGGATATACGGGTGGATCCTTGACGCGGGCACGGGCACATCGCTTAGAATCTAATGTGCCTCAACCTGGCTAACTAAGTATTTACTAAGTATCTATCTAGTGTCTAAATACCTGGATAGTCAGTTAGAGAGAGTAAATAATGAATGGTACGCTAACCGGCTCGCTCGCTCGCTCGAGCCACGTTCAGCTCCCGGATGGTTTCATCCATCCAACCAACCCCCATCGGTTAGTTTTAGTTGACTGGTACGAACCATGATGCACGGAATTAGGGTTCGGGCTCTGGTGCCGAAGTCCGAATGATCATTTTTCGTCTGTCTGTCTGTCGATCAATCTGCGCATTGCATTAGGTTTCATATCTCTTCATGACTTTTTGTGGGTTTGACGTGGCTTGACATGTCATGACTCGGAGAGTTTGCGCGGGAACAACTGACTCGTGGGAAGCCGGGATGCGTGGCTATTCAGCTGAGAGTGTCATTCTTCTTCTGCTAAGCGATGTGGCAAGTTTGAGGGAATGAGTCGTGTCTACGACTCTACGCATCTCTGTATGATGATCTTTGTGGAGTGAAGGATGGGGTGGATGGGGTGAATATGCCTTGATATTATGTGGGAACGGAATTCAATGGTAATGGTTTGATTGGATGGATGGATGGCTTGTAAGCGAAGCTGGGAGATGAATGAGAGGATGGGATTTATTCATCGTTGATTGGACTAGTAGTTAATGCACTCGCTTGAGTGGCGCTGGGGTATATAAGGCACCCTTCCCCCTTCTTCTTCTCCTTCTTCTCTCTCTCTTTGCAACCTCCAACATCTGGTCACCAAACATCTATGATGCTCTATCGGTCATAGTTTTCCCTGGTTTACTCGGATTTAGCAGCTACAACAAGAATAACTTCCAAGCTATTTAACCATCTACAAGTCATTCCTCTATTGAAACGGGACTCCGGCGTTAACGCATTGTCCAGCAAATTATTATTTGTATCGGCTAGACATATGATGGGCGACCGACCGGAATTGTATATGAAGCAATCTTTCATAGCGAAATGTGACTTCTTTGCTAGATGAGTTACGTTGACGCTCCTCGTACATTTGTTTTAGAAATACCGCGCAAATAGTGCTATGTTATATTCTAATTGACATGGCTAAAGCCTACGACTAACGAGACAGAAGACACGCGGACCACCTAACCGTCAGTTGGGAGCGTACACAGGACCACCTAAGCAACCCGATTCAAGCCCATTTCTCACAATTCCTATGTACTCATCTATATATCGATCCAGATTTTCGTTAGGCCTCCGCTGTGCCCAGCCCGCTCTTTCGCAGCCACCAGCTTAAAGTAATGACAAAACTGTGGTATATGGCTGAAAGACCCCCATATACAGCTACAAGGGGGCCTGCCTTTTCTTTCAAAGAGACATTAAGAATGAGACACATTACCATTACGGCTCGGAAACCTTAAGACGTAACAGGGTGAGTGTAGCCAGCGATTCCGCTCAAAACGGTGTATCGGTTCTTTTAAATTACAGTACACCTGGACGTGCTTGCCTCTAGTAGTATACTTGGCGCTGCTTCCCAGACGGATGAGTTCTGCTGAAGTCTCCTCTAGATTCTCTTCGCTCCCAAGATAAACACCGTCCTCACACACCCACACACTCACACACACACCCATAAACACGGTCTTTATCTTTGGGTCTTTCTGATATTCGTTGTGAATCATGTCTCTCGAAAAAATTATCGATGATCTTCCTCGCAACAGAGAGCAATGGGTACAATATGCCAAGCGGGCCGGCCTTTTGCACAAGTCACTGCGACACTGCAAGAAACTCCAGTCAGGATCTTGCGTCAACGATGAGCAATTTATGCTCTTTAGAACGATTTGCCCCCAACCCATTCACCCAAACTATTTTAATCCTGCTGACTATGGTCTTGACTTAACTACAGCCTCTAATACATTAGCAATGTCCCACGGCTTTCAAGCCTACCTCAACCAAGTCGGCACAAACAACTTCCGGGGCCTGGGAGAATTTGGCACTACACTCGTTCGACAGTGGGAAGTACTGGAAGGCTTTAGAAACAGGGATGATCCGCTTAAGTGCTCTGATGAAACTCCTGTTAAATCTAGTCTGATCAGTCTACTCCAGGCGCTTTCCTTGTTACCTACCACGACTGCCTCCGAGTGGCGTAGCACCAGACTCCGTTTGAGGGGAACATTCGGTAGTCATAATCTTCGTTCAGGCGAGTCTCCTCCCCAATTTGTTGCAATCACAGATGGACAATTGCAAGATAAGCAGACAGGTAAAATCAAGTCTGTGACTAAATGCAAGAGATACCTTCGCGACATGATGGACAAGGCAGTCGATATGGAGGAGGCTGCTGAGGTTGTAGCTTGGGTCAGCCAGTATCCTGATACTGATAGAAGTATCAATACACACCAGTAAGCCACCCGCAACCTAACCAATATGAACACGTTGGTAACGAATTGGCATAGTCGGGTTCTTGTTTCAAAGGATGGATGCGAAATATGGATAACCTTTGCAGGATATGACAATTCTTGGGCAGACTACCTAGATGGCCGTGGTGGAAGTGGAACGAGGCAACCCAGCCTGATGACGATGCAAAGATACGGTCCCTACGATATAGGGAATAGACGCCAAGTATTGCAGGTGTCTACAATCCTGCTTGCTATTTCACTTTAGTCATACGTCCAGCATACTGGGTCGCAAAGAACGGCTTCAGAGTGAGTTTGATATATGCCAGGTCGCAAAGACCGGCTTCAGAATGAGTTTGATATATGCCAGGTCGCAAAGACCGGCTTCAGAGTGGGGTTGATATATGCCAGGTCGCAAAGACCGGCTTCAGAATGAGTTTGATATATGCCAGGTCGCAAAGACCGGCGTCAGAGTGGCCTTGATATATGCGCTCTTATTGTGCTAAGAACACAACGACAGGCCAAGAGCCAGAATATTTGTAGACGAATCTGAATGTATGCTCTGGCTCCTAGACATAGGGAGTTATGATAAAGGCAGGCGAAGAAATAATTGGCACATTGTTATATGCAAATTTCATTGCAACGTGCTAGCCTATAGCGGATCATTAACATACGGTCATCTACTCATAACTTAGTAGTTATTATTCGAACTACTTAGTCGACTATCGTACATGCTGACGGAGGCTATTGGCTACGGGCTTGCAGCAAGGTGGACAGACAATACGGAATAAGCGGCCTTCCAAACTTCTTTTTCAAGCCGATATGCAGCTAGGCTAGGCTACTTAGAAAGAGCCGTCTCATGGTTATTTTCGCATAGATCACCCTGATATGCTTACAGGCTTCAAAGAACGCCAGATGAGCTGCGCACAAGCCCGGGCCTACCATTTGTTGATACGCTGAAACGGAGCCGGACCTCAGTGCCGAGGAGCCTAGTACTAATAATACTTTATTACATGGTATGGAGTATTAATGGTAAAGCTTGCGTAGATGGTGAATCATTCAGTATCAGGTGATCAGCCACGCGCGCCCACCACACACACACACATCTCCAATCTTACTGTTTCGACTCAAATCAACTCTTCAACACCACCAACCATTCTAACAACGAGAACGCCCTCATATTCAATTACACGACAAAATGCCTAGCAACAACATAGCTGAGCAAATCGAACGTCTTTGGAAGGAGTTGGTGGTGAAGACCCCTGAAGTGCTGGTGGATAAAGAGAATCAAGTAAGTGATATAGTCCTGGATCAGTACCAGATTGATCGCAGTCATATGGGACCATATTTTCTTGAAAACCTTGAAATTTCAGGACAGGGAACTACAGGAGCAGATATATATGGGCCACGAACACTGTTTCCTGCTGATGTCCCAATTCTTTTTCAACCCATGTCCCGAGCGGAGCTTGAAAAGTACCCCGTTTTAGCGTCAAAACAGCCGAGAATGAAGCACTACGACCCCGCCATTCATGGTGAATCGCCAAATGAGCAGAAAAATTATATATACCAATGGGCCTACCATTTAATGAATTGGGTGGAAGACTCCATGGGTCAATGCGGAGTAAGAGAAAACGCGAAAACTTTAGATGAACGACTAAATAGGCGAAGAAAACTGAAAAACATATAGTAAGTGCAAGAAGGCTATTGGAATTTTCTTTTAACTAGATCATTTAACTAAAGAATTTCCAATAGCTGGCCCGATCCGTTCTATCTAGGCTGCGAGCTGTTTGGGGCATACCCTTCTGTTCACGACCATTGGGGAGCAATTCTTCGGATCGAGCCAGATTTGGTTGATGGCCACCGTATCTATCCCCATCTTACCATTGGCCTAGCTCTATCGCATTGCGGGAAAGAGAGCTCCATGCTCTACGAGGAACTCGCAGTGATTATATCTGCTATGCAATGCCGGGCTCTTCAGCCTCGGGTTCCAGAAGATAAGGCTTTGTTTGAGGAGGATATTGAGACTATAAAGTCCATGCCTCGGGAGTTTGCGGATGAAAAGACGTTTCCTCTTCTCCTTCTGTCATTTTCGGGTCCCCAGAATTTCCGTTATTTTCATGTCTGTATGCGTGGGACTCGGATGCGTATTCTACAGTCTCAGCTGTACAGCTTCGAAAAAAAGGAGACTGCGCCGATTGAGCTTCTAGTACGGTTGGCAATGAGCCAGCCGTTATCAGAGAATTAACTAACACCAGGTCGCAAGAAGTTGTACTTGCTGCACCCTCAGGTCGAAAAGACCGAGACTTATGACAACCTCAGGTCGAAAAGACCGAGACTTATGACAATCTCAGGTCGATAAGACCGAGACTTATGACAACCACAGGTCGATAAGACCGAGACTTATGACAACCTCAGGTCGAAAAGACCGAGACTTATGTTATCAACAAATTGTACAATCCATACCTATACCTTAAAGAATGAAATTGCTGTCTCCCTACCAATGAGTGCACCAAATTCTGAACATTACACAGCGCAAACGCAGAGAAGAAGAAGAAGAAGAAGGACTGCTTCTGCTTTTCTTCTCTTCTGATGTCAACATAGATTATCTGTTCAATGGATGATATGATGCAAGACACCACCATATGATTCCACTCCTCTAGATCATCTGTGTCCATAAATGGTTGTACTACTAACCGTGACAGGCAAGCACGGCAGCTTTCCGACAGTTGCAACCCCCTGGTTGCGGCGAATCTAACAGTGTCGTCGGTCCCCAATGAAATGGCGAAGGATATAACGAGCTATCGGGTGAAACAACCAAATTACTGAATCGAATAGACACACTACACTGCCATATACTCGTGCCGATGCCCTTTTGGGAATTTTAGTATTTTCGGGTCTCAGAGAACTTGAGTTATCGAAGGCGTTTGACAATGCAGAAGGAACGAGCCCATTACAATATTACGATACATTAGTCGACTAGCATAATACTGTTGGGCGCTTCCAGTCATGTGGAGCGGAAGGTCTCTGCTATTTTGGGGTAGGAGGCAGTGATGCTTGATACGTAAGGATTGGCCTTGTATTTGCTCATGTCAAATGTACTATGGACTTGAATGTAACTAGAATCATCCCAAATCATCCAGTGTTCCTCCAAGAGATCATGAACAATTAATTCAAGAAACTAGTAGTAACTATTTACGCGCCTCGAGAGCAGATTTGATAGCTGCAACATGTTAGCTTAGTCTTCTTTCAATAGCAGGGTAGCTCACCATCGCAAGAGGTCTTGGCGTCTCCAAAAAGCATCCTCGTTCCAGGCATGAAGAACATCGGGTTTGGTACGTCGGCTGCACAATTAGCGCTCGTTCATCCCATGAGTCAAAGACACTTACCGTATCCGCTGGACATGCTGCGCTTCATCACAACAACCTCCTTGCTCTTCCACGCATGCAGTACTGGCATACCCGAGATCGGCGAGTCAGGCTCCAGGGCGATTGGATTGACCGTGTCATTAGCGCCGATGACAAGGGTAACGTCAGTGTCCGGGAAGTCATCGTTTATCTCATCCATTTCGAGCACGACTATTCTGGTTAGCCTCGCCGAGGTGCTCGGGTGTTGTACCTACTATCGTAAGGAACCGACGCCTCCGCCAGAAGCACATTGCATTGACCTGGCATCCTGCCTGCAACAGGATGAATGGCGAATCGCACGGAAACACCTCTGGCACGTAGCATACGCACGATCTCAGCCAGGGCATACTGCGCCTTCGCTACAGCCATGCCATATCCAACAACCTATACCCCATTAGCCATGCTCATCACTTCAAAGCTCATACGCACAATTATGACGCTTTCAGCATTTGACAATGCTTCCACGGTATCGTCGACAGTTGCCTGGACTACCTCGCCTTCGATCTTCTTTGCTTGTTGAGGAGCTGCAATACCACCGAACAGGACGTTGGTAAGGGAGCGGTTCATAGCGACGCACTGGCATGGTTAGAATCTTCCGAGCAATAGTCGAATCGAGGATGCCTACCATAATGTAGGACAGAATCGAACCGCTGACTCCAATCAAAGAGCCTATACTGGTGAGGAGGGGGTTATTGAGCATGAAGCCTTCAGCAACCAGAGCAAATCCAGAGTATGCATTCAAAACGGTAATCACCACCGCTGCGCTGGTCAGCAAGGCACGTAACCTAGGGTCGAGCACTTACGCATATCAGCCCCACCAATGGCAGCGGTCGTAGTATAACCTTTCAAGAAACTAAGCAGGGTATTTGCGCCTAAGCACGTCGCTGCAATCGCTGGGGATCCAGGTGCCATTGTAACAAAGGCTCCCATTGTGGCCACATTACTTCCAAGCAGACTCGTGTTGATCAAATGTCTACCAGGTAGTATCATAGGTCTCGAAGACATACGTCCGGCGAGCTTCAGGAAAGCCACAATAGAACCAGTAAAGGTAACACCACCTACTACAGTTAGAAATTTCCTGCTCACGTGGGATATACGTACCGATCAAAACGCCCAGATACGCCGTCACCATGTGCAATGTGGATACGTGAGAAATGTCAGCCACTACGCTCCCTATGCTTGTAAGGACAGCCGCGAGCCCAACCACAGAATGGAGAGCAGCAACGGTCTGGGGAAGCCCAGTTGGTGTGATTCGTCGTCCTATGAGAGCTCCTGTTGACTGGTTAGGAGAGTCCGTCATATGAGTGCTTTACATACCAGCGACAGAACCTAGGCCAGCCACCGCGCCAAATTGGGTTAACACTTCGGGCGAGAACCCTACAGCTGCCAAAGAAGCAATGATTCCAGCTGCGACTCCGAGTATTCCAAGGATATTCCCACGCCTAGCAGTTTGCTGAGAAGCAAGACCCGAGATCGAGGCTACTGATATTAGCAATGGAATTGTCAGCACAAAAAGCACTTACCAATACAGAGAACACTGCTGACAAGATAACCGGCTTGCACAAGCCCCGCCATTCCAGTGCTGGCAGCAGCAAGGAAGCCCCCACCAAACAGCACAGCTGGAATAGCGTAAAGCCAAGGGTATTCAGGCGGATCAGTCGGACCTGGACATGGTGTGAGCGAATCTCGTCAACAATATGTGCCCTAACACTAACGCTTGAACATATCCAACATGCGTTTGGTAATAACAAAACCACCTGATACATTCATGAATGCCAGTAGGACTGAAGTAGCACCTAGGGCTTCGGGTATCGTGCTGGGCACGTAGCCTCCGCCCATGATGAAGAAACCGCCAATTCCGACCATACCTGAGGCAGTCAGCGTTAGTAAAACAGCGGAGTATTCGGCCTACTCACCAGAAATCGCATTTGTAACGCTCATTAAGGGGGAATGAAGAGCCGGCGCAACACCCCACACTGCACGATAGCCGACCAGACCAGCAAGACCAAATGTCAACATGTTGCTCATGAACACCGGTCCTGTAGCCTTGCCCAGAGCAAGAGCAGTCCCCATACCAGCGGTAGTGGCGGTAACATCGCGCGTAGCCTTCTGCCAAGGCGAAATTGCCAGTTCTGCTTGTTCTTTGGCAGGCGCGGGGATCTCTTGCTTAGGTGCGGGAGGTGGTACTGGCCGTGGGGCTGGCGGTATGATCTTTCCATTGTGTGTAACGATAGAACCACGAACGACCTCGTCCGCTAGATCAATGCCAAAGGACTTCTCTTGAGGGGACATGGACAACAGGTATTTGATAATGTTGTTGGAATACAATGTAGATGATTGGGTTGGGAGACGCGACGGTAAGTCAGTATATCCTTGAACTTGTCAGTCCTGTATCACTGAACACTTGGAAGCCGCATACCAATAACAGTCACATCTTGAAACTTAGTCAACTCGCCAGGTATAGTTGCTTCGCAGTTCCCGCCTGCTTCCGCGGCAAGATCGACGATGACAGATCCAGGTTTCATTGCAGCAACCATCTAGAACTGTGAGTAGGTTTCGATGCATCCTGGGATATGGTTCTTACCTCTTTCGTAATGAGCTTAGGTGCAGGCTTTCCAGGGATGAGAGCAGTCGTGATAATGATGTCTACTTCCCGAGCTTGTTCCATGAAAAGCTTCATCTCCGCTTCAATGAATTCCTTCGACATCTCTTTGGCATATCCACCTTGGCCTGATCCTTCCTCTTGGATGTCTACCTCTATGAACTCGGCACCAAGGGACTGGACTTGTTCACGAGCAGCAGAACGGGTATCGAAGCCTCTAACAATAGCTCCCAAGCGACGAGCCTAGACGATGCCCGTTAATTATGACCTCCAGTGTGACGCGTTAACAAAGACCTACAGATGCGATTGCGCTCAAACCAGCCACGCCAGCGCCAATAACCAAAACCTTGCTAGGGGGGATCTAGAACGTCTCAGTATTATAGCCTATCATATCAGAAGGGAATACAACCTTTCTAAGTAGCATATTGTTAGTAAATCTGTATGAGACATGTAAGAATTCACTTACCCAGCGGCAGTAACTTGGCCCGTCAGGAACCGGCCAAAATGATTGGACGCTTCCAAGACAGCCTTATACCCAGCAATGTTGGCCATGGAACTATTGTTAAGTGATCAGCATTGTGAGTATCCAGTATGAATCGCTCATACCTAAGAGCGTCGTATGTTTGTGCGCGAGATATTCTTGGTATCATGTCCATGGCAAAAGATGTGACGCCACGCGAAGCAAGTTTCTCGACCAGTGGCTTGTTCTGGGCCGGATACAGGAACGAAATAACCGTGCTTCCCTGGCGCAGTGCTCCGATTTCGTCGATGGGACCTTGCTGCTGAGGACTGCGGACCTTCAAAATGATGTCGCTCTGAGACCATATTGAACCCCGATCGACTAGTGTTGCTCCAGCTTGTTCGTATACTTGATCGTGTAACTTGGCTTCCTCTCCAGCGCCGCGTTCTACCAACACACGCGAGAATCCTTTTTTGAGCAATAGGGAGACATTCTGAGGGGTCACGGCAACACGACGTTCGTTCGGGTATGTTTCACGAGGTACACCAACGGTCAGGGCGGAGTAAGGTACGACTGGGACGGACGGCGATGCGGATGCAGCAGTAGCGTATCTTCTGCGAGACGACGTCGGAAGTGGCAGCTGTTCAAAGCCGTTGTATCTGGTGGCTAACAATGGAACGCATCGCACTTGCACTTAGACGACGGTGGTCAGTAAGTCTTGAGGCCCACCCTCGATGAGGTTAGCAAAAGCACTCACGAGTGGTCTTGACAATAGAGCGGGAGTCCCGTGGATAGGCTCCAGGAACTGCTCGGCATGGCAACAGCGCCGAGCGCAGAAACAGCGGTACACTCATAGCGGAAGTTGGCAGCTAACGCAAGGCGACTCTAATGATAGAAGCTATTGCCACAGAGACCCTCATTCCACTCACTCTCAATGCTGCAAAGGTGGCAGAAGGGGGCGTCTGGGCCACATGGGTGGTGTGACAGAAGGGCAGGCTAGGAAGGACGGCAGGACGGCGGATTGTTGTTTCGAACTGTAAACCCATTCAATCAGAGACGTTAGTGAATTCAAATATCAGCTGAAGAGTGCAGGCACGTACAGCTATATGGGGAGAGCTCCTGATTCATGATTCAATCAGGAGAGACTGATCGTTGATCGTTCCAATGCGGGGAGGTCACCGTCGCGCAAGGGATGGCGGGAACACAACATGCCAATTATCCACGAGTCTAAACTTGGCATAAAGAAAGGATGACTCCGGTGACCGGAATTCACCTCCATAGGATCGAAGAACGATAGTAGTAGCCGTGGGTGATGTGACCAAAGACTTGCAGGAAATGAGGGGAAGCCGCGCGGGGAAGGCCCATTGACTGGCCATCGGCTTCGCGGAGTCTGAGCTGTCACTCCCGCTTGGCATCAGGCATCGTCCACCATGCACTTTTTCTCATGATTTATGCTGGTATTGATTGCATAAATAGGGTCCTATCGTGCCGCTGTCGCATATCTATGTATACAATACTATCCCAAAAAGGTCTTCATATCATCTTGACCTGGTTACCCATGCTGCAACGAATTGCCGACTGATGGGGATCTACATTGAAGAGTTGAGCTCTTCCCGGTACAATTGAGCTACTATTTAACCGGGTCGGACAAGCTGTGTCCTCCTACTTCTACAATCCTGGCCCAACCGCAACCGGATGTAACGCCGTCTAGGTGCCGCATCGGAGATAATTGTACATATCATGCAGAGCACCCTTCTGGAATACATATCACTATCTCGTGCGACGGGCACGAGCCATCCTTCGGAGACTGTGAATCAGAACAGTTGTCCAGCTATAACCTTGTCCGGCAGGGTTATCTGACAACTCATTAAAAGGGTGGCAGTGAACTCGGCTCGTTCAGGCGTGTGAGCTCGTGGAATCGCCAGACAGGGTAGTTTGTCATTGGATATTTGCCAGCTTCTTTGTTCGTGTAGACACCATCATCATTTGCGTTTGCAAACTGCGGCTTTGATCATCAAAGAGTTCCCGAACACTTAACCGCTGTTTATAGGCATCTTTCCCCGCTCGACTAGTGACCTCAAACCTAAATGCTGTCCAGAATCATATATTAGCACAACAGCCCATTGATGGCATCTAATCACGAATGCCAGAGGAACCAGCTCTCCGCAAATCGGATGATCGACTGTCCACGTGAATGTTGATTCCAGCGAGCTCGGGCTGCTAGGGTGGAGGAAGGATGTCCGTGCTATGCAGCGTAACATATGATCATTGTAGGTAGTGCAAAACGGAACACACTGGTCCTAGCTGAAAAACATCCCCGGCATTTATACTGATAGGATAAAATCTAGATGGTAAGTGTAGTTGATAAGAAGTTAATCCATGAGGTCACGTGCATGTTCTTCCAGATGGTGCTGCCTGAGGCGATACTTGAAAACCCCTCGTGCCAGGGAAGCCCGCGTTGATTGCTGTTCAATTTAATCCCCGTCGCAAAATAGCTGGATATGGTCTAGCAGTCATTGTTGAAGTGACGGTTGGTTGAATTGGCCTCGAATCGATGTCAAGATCCAGGTCCTGGTGATGGCCGGCCCCTCGCACGGCTTTTTATCCCGCTCCACTCATGGTGGGGCATGGAGATAATCATGATGATGCGATTGACACTCTCCCTCAACCGGTTTGAAGCAATCGCTGTCTTGTGTGCGCCAAAAGGGCACCCCGTCTACTTCGCGAATCATTATATCCATCGATAAAAATCGATCGCCAACTTGATAACCAATTTCATGCATGCATACACGCGTTGTCCCCAGCAGGCGATGGAGCGCGCAAAGGATCCGTCCACGGCCGAACGGGCTCACGCAAACGTGGAACGGCTCCGCTGCGGTGATGCTACCAGAGCTAATTTCTTGCTTGGCTCCTTAAGGTACACTCTCTTGACCCACGGCGGTCGCATCCTTCCACCCACAGGCCCTGATTGGAATTTGCGCGCTCTTCCGGCTCGCTAGTGGAGCGCAAAAGTGAGCTTCAACAATTCTTCTTTCCCTCACCGTTGGCTCTTGCGGAGCAGACATCTCCGGTCAACCCTCAACTATCTATCCCGTCAACTAGATTGAATTAAAGACAAGGGAACGGGATAAGTGTATATCCTTGCTAGACTGGGGAGTGTTGGTGACATCTCGACTCGTTAAACCGGGAGCACGAATGCTTTAGCTTATCCACTAGGCTAATTTGGTTCCTTTTTTTTTTCTTGCTGTCTTACGCCTTACAGAGTGGGGTTAGCAGGTTCCTGATCGTCTATCATCAATTTTCAGCTGACTTGCGACAGAAACATCTTCACTTAACTTCCTCACTTTCAACTATTCTATCTGCACGCTCCTGGACGTGGACCTTTGAGCCTCTGAGCATTGGCCTTGGTTTCCAGAACGGCAGCCATGGCCCCATCACCTCACCAACAACACTCGCAGCTCGTCATCGACCCTGACACTGTTCCGGCCGGGGGAGAAGAGGTCAGGAGCGAGGCAGAGTCCCGAGAAGATGCAAAGCTACTGGTATGTATATCAGTGGCATTCCTTTCAGCGATCGAGTATCGATGTCGAACAAGTAATCGCTGATATACTACCAACAGAAATCTATGGGCTATAAGCCAGTGAGTCAGCCTTAGCAAGTCTATTGCATGCAGGCTTGTCTAATCAGATTCACAGGTCCTTCATAGGACATACACATTACTTGAAAACTTCTCGACGACATTCGGTAGGTGAAATGATTACGGCGGATTCTAGGTCCATGAAGGTCACTAACCTCACATGATTAGCTGCACTCTACTTTGTTGGAGGAGTGCGCGTCACTTATAGTACGGGTATCGCAGCAGGTGGTAACCTGGCTTACTGGTAGGCTCTACCACCGTCTATGCAATGATCGTAACTCATTTTTTGTAGGACGAGTTATCTAGTCACTTTGGTTTTCACATACATTACCGCTGCTGTCATCGCGGAGGTATGCTCTGCCTCGCCCTCCGCGGGCTCTATCTACTTGTGGGCCGCGGAGTCTGGAGGCCCTCGCTTTGGAAGGCTACTCGGATTTGTGGTTGCTTGGTGGAGTACTACTGCCTGGACGACCTTCTGTGCTAGCAACACCCAATCTGCTGTCAACTACATGCTCTCGGTGAGTGTCACTTTCAAGGATATCCCAAGATAGTTTACTTATTAGCGCACAGGAACTGACGGTCTTCGACGTCGACTTCCCGAAAGACACATCCAGTGTCAAGTTCCGTGCTGTCCAGTGGATCTGCACGGAAGTGTTGCTAGCATTGGCCGCACTTCTCAACTACCTGCCGCGTATGTTCAATCCCAAGACTGGTTGCGCCTATCCTTTCTCTGTTCAGATTTGCTTATAATTCTACAGCTAGGTTCTTCAAATGGGTGTTTTACTTCTCGTCCTTCATCGTCATGCTGGACTTCTTCCTCAATGTCATCTGGCTGCCGATTGGTGCCGCCAACACATGGGGTTTCCGCACGGCTGAAGAGGCATTCATGTCCACCTACAACGCCACAGGTGCCCCTGCAGGCTGGAACTGGTGTCTTTCCTACCTCGCTACTGCCGGTATCCTGATCGGTTTCGACGCCTCTGGTCACGTTGCGGAAGAGACCAAGCATGCTTCGGTGACGGCAGCACGTGGTATCTTCTGGAGTACTGTCGTCAGTGGCATTGGTGGACTAGCAACTATCATTCTGTTCCTCTTCTGTGCAGTAAGTTCCACACTTCCATGCAACGATTATCCAACAACCCCATACTGACATGACCAGCCCGACAACGACACTCTCATGTCCTTCGGCTCCCCCCAGCCATTCGTGCCCCTCTACGCCGTCGTCCTCGGCAAAGGAGGCCACATCTTCATGAACGTCATCTGCATAGTCGCATTGTGGCTCGTAAGTCCACCCCCCAACAGTTCCCGCAACCACATATTCACATACTAAACCACTTTACAGAACACAGCGATCGCCATCGTCGCCGCCTCCCGCCTCGTCTTCGCCGTCGCCCGCGACGGTGTCCTCCCCTTCTCCAGCTGGGTTTCCAAAGTCCACAACGGCCAGCCCCGCAACGCCGTCATCGTAGTCTGGGGCGTCTCAGCACTCATCAGCTGCACGCTCCTACCCTCCGACGTCGCCTTCACATCTCTCGTCTCCGCCGCCGGTGTCCCTAGCGCCGCCGCATACGGGCTCATCTGCCTCGGCCGACTCCTCTGCACCCCGAAACGCTTCCCCAAGCCCGAGTGGAGTCTCGGTCGCTGGAGCAAGCCGTTCCAGTTCATCGGTGTCTTCTGGAACGGCTGGGTGGTAGCTGTGCTATTCTCGCCTTACGAGTTCCCCGTCACCGGCGCTAATCTAAACTGTAAGAACCCCCTCCCTTCCAACATACTTCATCCTAAAACATCTGCTTACTTACTTTCCCTCTTTCTAACCAGACGCCCCAATCATCATGGCCGGTGTGACCATCTTCGCTCTAATCTCCTATTTCATCACCCCCGAAAGCGCCTGGTTGCCTATTGACCGCATCTCGCATTTCATCGATAGCAAGGGTGCTGCGACCGAAACCGTCGAGGAAGTTGGTAGTGGTGATAATCATCATCATCATCAACAGCCTGAGGCGACGACGTCTTCTTCCGGGAGGGAGGAGAACTGAGTCTATTGTCATCGCGAGGCGAGCCTCGCAGTAATTTATATGTTGTATTTTACGATTGGTGGTTGTGGTGATGCTGGTTTTTTTTACGGTTTGTTGATCGGTTGAGATGGTCGTTGACTGATCAACGGTGGGGGGAAAGAAGGCAGGAAAGACTGAACTGCCTGCGTCCTCCCTCAAGTTATGGTTGAGTGAAAAGTTTGCTTTGTAGATATGATAGAGCCTAGAGGGGTTTAAGTATACCCAGAGATTTAATGTGATTTGCTTTAGTTACAGATGGATGCATACAAATGATCTCATGGTGATATCAGATACTAGCTTTTGTTCTATTTCAGGCAGTGTAAGAAGCAGATAACTCTCACGGGCGCCAAGGTGTAAATCTATATATGACTTTCAGTAAGCCTTGTCTGTATCTGTACAACAGTGATCCAACTCCTCCAATAGAATAAAAACAGCACAAATCCGTCACCCAAACAGCACATATAGTCAAACCATTTGCAAAGGATATTTCCTCACGCTCCGCAAATCCAAGTCTAAGGGTCCAGCCCAGCCGAACACCTTAGTTTCCCAAATAGTAACGCCAGTATTACACCAATACGTAGACTCCGTGTTTTCCCCGTTCCATGTAACTTATGTCCATTATAAATCGTCAAATACCATGTCAAGATGGCTCAGGGCGGTCGTGAATCGCAGAGAACGTCATCAGCGAGCCACGAAGCAGCTTTGTTCAAGGGAGTAGGATTGAGGAACGTATATCGTCCATAGTGTCAATCCAACCTTCTGGGAAAGCTCGCTGCTTGAACCAGGCTTGTTCCAGTTCCTCGAGGGCCTTATCAACATTCTGCAGTCGCATTAGCATTTATTTGATCATTACTGGCGTGTATCCTTGACATACCTTGAACCCGAACCGCTGGAGATCAGTCATGGTCTGCCGCACAAATTTCTGCTCGCTCTCGTTCCGTGACTCTCGGCCAGCTGTGAAAAGTGGCCATAGTACCGCCAACTGACCCACGTCCTTTGCGAGTTTTCCAATCAACGCCAAAATTCGCGTAGCAAGCATGTCTAACAGCGCCCTTTGGGGCTGTATATCAGGACGGCCTGCTGCTCCAACCCGATGTAGGAATATGTTGGTGGCCTTTTCATATGCTTCGATACACCCGGCATACTCAAGGACATCAGGGTAGGGATATTGTCGCAAGCTCTCATCGTCTAGTTCGCCTAACATCTGCAGTGCCTGTGGTGCGTTCAGACGCCATTGTACCAGCCGCTGTAATAGCTCGTGATAAACCAGATCTTGTTGTTCGAACGGCATCAGACCATCTTGTTTCGCTTTTCCAAAGGCACTGATGGCTGCTTGGATCTCCATCATAGCAGACCAACATTGGCGCAGTTCAACAAGATGGTGACTATAAGCAGGTTGTTCGGTCGACAGGCTTGGTGTACCCAGATTGTACTCCCAGCCACCTCCGTGTGTTGTCCAATAGCTGCCTTCCACCACGGTTCCCTCACTGGTGGCACAGGCACCCGCAACGTCTAAGTATGAGAGCAGCGATACGAGGAAGGGTCGAAGTGGGTGATTGATTTCAGCGAGGCGCTTGGCTTCTTTGTCCGGGTCGTCATTAGGGGTGAAAAGTATTCGGTAAATTTCTCGGGCTCCTTTAAGATGGATAGCCCAGTTGTGATGTTGAGAATCCATCATCTGATTAGTTAGCTTTGCGTGCTCGTTATGTCCAGGTCAACAACTAAGGAACTCACCTCGAACAGTGACAGTAAAAGACAGGTGGCGAAATCCGTAAGTCGCACGCTGTGGTTGGGGTCTGTGTATCGGGTTCTAAAGGACTTGACAACCTCGCCATAATTGCTCATGGCTTGTTGGAAGTGCTTGTTTCGCTGTTGGCCTTTGGAGGTATTGGCAAGGTGCAACGCACCCATGGCTTGCATAGCGCTGGCCATTGACGTTGAGGATCGAGCGAGCTCAGGGAAGAATCTTCGGTAGGGATTTATGTTGTTCGAATTATCATAGATGAGGAGTAGAGTAGAGACCTGGTCGACAAAATGAGTGTAATACCGGCCTTCGACGCAGTCCAGTGACGAGGATAAAAACTCGGCGGGAGAGATGGGGTCTTGGAAGCGATATTTTATAGGCTTCAGGTCGGACACAGTTGTTGGAGACACAACTAATGTTTCGAAAGGCTCATTCTCGTCTCCTGCCGGCTCCTGCTTCACTTGCTTGTCCCCTTCGCTCTTGATCTTTTTGTCGCATTTCTTGGCGGTGGCGGGAGACGAATCCGCTTGCGGCGGTCCGTAGACTTTGAAGGTCATACGACCCTGAGTGCCATCGCATTCAAGACCCAGGCGTGTACAGTTTTTGCAGGACGGCGATGCTTCGTCGCAGCGGACGTGGCGTCGACGACATGTCGAACAGCCTGTAAATCCTCGGTGATGCCATCGACGGACCCGCTTTCTCTTCTCAGGCGCTGCGGCTGCGGAAAGCTGGGGTTGTGCGGGGGGAAGAGGCTTCCCCGGCGCACAAACCAACGTATGAACCTCCATGTGTAGGAGATAATGCTAGATACGAATAGATGGTGTGGGGTAGCGACATGAAGGTGAATGAGGGGCGGAGGTGTGTCCGACCAGAGAAATTCGAGGTCAGACGGCGGACGTCGACAGTTAAACCATTTAGGAGAGACCAATGGTGCGTCAAGAGGAAGTCCCTGAAATCAGAAGATCACTAAAAGTGAAATAACGGGGCGACGGGACAATCCAATGGAAGTCACAAGGGTGAGTGAGGACTTGAAAAGGAAGCCGAAGCACTGGCGATTAGTAGCCGTAGTAAGAAGGTAGTTAACTAGTAGTTAACGGAGAAGCAGTGGTGACCACTAGTTACGTTAGTAGATGATGATCGGATTATTAAGTATGGGGGGGCAAATTGAGGGAGAACCAAAAGAGCAGGCGGCGAGATGCTGGAGCCAGTGGGGCTCCAGACGGTCGGGCATTTGGAAATTTGGGGGAAAAGCAGACAATGGGAAAAAAGAAGGGGGGAAGGAAAATGGCGAACTGAACTTGCACTGAACGGATTACTGAACACTTTCGCGGCTGATCGAAGATAGTCCCAGCCTAGCCATCCCACTCCCTCTTTTTTTTGCAGATCATCCACCACTTCCTCCTGTTCGGTGTATCTACACCACGAGAGAAGTAAGTTCCCTCCAGACAATTCTACTTCTACTTCTCCTTCTCAAACAGCTTATCATTCTCCCGGTGTAAAGGATATTCCCCTCCTCTGTTTCATTTCCGGCTGAGCGCCAAAAAGCCGACGGGCGCTGCTGATCGACCCTAGTGGTGGATCATATTTTACTCTCTAGTCCTTCGTGCTGCGGTGCCTACTGCACTTCCTGTCTAATGATCTGATTTCCTTCGGTACCTCTCTTACTAGCCTAACTGGTCTGGCGGCAGGATAACCTTTTTTTCTGCACAAGAAAATCCCGCATCCACGTCCATCCAATTGCGAAGAGCAACTGTAATGGTACCTCGAAACCTTCCGAGCGCTTCCTACATCGAGTGGCCTTCCTTCGTCTTCCAGATCCCCACCCGATCCACTCACGATGATTGCAGTAGAGTGGAAGAGCCACGATGCAGCATGCGGAGGGGGGCTGCTAGTCTAGTACTGGGCGAATCCCATAGCCAGAATTCTCCGCCTTCCCCCCTGACCAGTGGGCATTGGCATCTGATAATTAGTAGCGAAGGAAATCGCTAGAGTGACCCGGTCCAAAAGGATTCGCCCAGGAGCCACTAACTCCCGACTATCTCGGTTGCCAAGCACCTGAATGGAACCTTCTCGCCTGCCACTTTACCGGTTCTAGCGGCCTCCTCGTGCCTTTTCATTCGAGACCATACTTAAGTATGTAGACTGGGGATGCCATTTCTGTATCTTCCCCCCTGTCATGAGGATTCCGTGGTAAGCTCAATCAAGTAACCCGGTTTGAGAGTGGAAACATGATTGGGCGTATTGCTGCTGGCCTGTCGAACCATGCAATGTCTCAGTTTGCTCAGCCTTTTCACTCGGTCAACAGGAAACGAATGCTCAACGCCCGTGGGCTCCCGAGTGCTCCTGCAAGTAGATGACCCCTTGAAAATCTCGTCTCCATGTGTGTGTGGAACGGGTGGTCCCGCAGCCCGTGAGCTACTGGCAGCGTCAAACGAAAAATTGAAGGCAGCAGAGATGGCCCTGCACATCCGATCACCAAGTCAGCTCATTTTACACGCAGATCATTGGTGACGTTGCTAGAGGTCTGTGTGCCACTGGGAACCCAGATGATGGTCGATGAGAACTGGTCTGTCTGTGGAGTGGTTCTCCTGGGTCATGTTCCGTGGATCTGCCAAAATCGAGGAAACTGGATGGGACTGACCCGACCATTCGCTTAGCTGTAACTTTTTTGACGCCTGCTGACGGTCTAGTCAATCAACTTGGCAGGCATTGTTCCTCGCTGAAATTTTTGGAACACGTCTTGGTATTGCCATATGGCGCGCAGAGCTACTCCTTCGGGATAAACAATGTGTTGGACGGTTTCAGTTTCATGTTGCGGCGGGATTCCGAGCACAGTAAACTCAAAGCTACAGGAGAGCTAGGCAACATGGAGGCAATCGGGGGTAGATCACCTCTCAGCCCAGACCGTTAACGAGCACGCACTCTGACAAAATACACGAAAGGCTGTGTATTTGTGGGAGGTACCAAGGACATACAAAGCTGACAGGCCAAAGTACCTACTGATCCAGCATCAATGCACAATCTAGTCGATTTGTTCCCGATTACACTAAAAGACATTACACCTCTGTAATCACACGATTTTGACGGTGACATGAAATATATGGTCGAACAGCTGGATGCATTTATCATGCGATGTTCGCATTGTCATGCCCAAACAGGTGGTCACCCACTGCGCCATTATTTGGGCTATATGGGATCAATGTCCATTTGTTCATATGGAAATATGAGTGGGGAGTCTGGCATAAGCGTCGCATTACGGCCGATGCTTCGACGCAGGTTCTAACCCAGTTACTGCTCACAGGTAGGCAGATCTCATGCAAGTTGGAAGGCTGTATGAGGATAGTAACAGGTTGACCGTTTACATTTCTCGGCCGATTTATGATTGACTGTCGATACATCCTGAAAATGTCCAGTGCCTATCCTCTACTAACCTGTCTGCTGAAAAATGGCCTCTATGTACTACTCTATACACGGGGCGTGTTTCATTCATACTTGCAGTGGCGGAAGCTGACCTGTAGCTGCCTCCCATCCTGGTCCGTGTGAATCCCTGCCCCATGGTATGATCCTTTGGTCCATTGTGGATATTTGCCTTTGCTTATCATGCCTAATAGCTTTTGCTGTTACCGTATCGTAGTCAACTTGACGTCAAGGAATCGAGTAAAAGCGTCCGTGTCTTTTCTGATCGGCTTGCGGCATCATAGTGTTGATACTATATATCATTCCCGCAACAAATGCACATCAAAGTGGCCCAACGCCGTGACTAACAGCCACTATACAAGAGCAGCGCATCAATGGTTGCTCTAAGCAACGGAATTCTGATCCAACAAACTATAACGACCACCCAGTCCTCTTCCACATTCCGTCTCCTTTTCGTCACCCATAAATAGCCGCGTGGCAAACCACCCAACCTTATTATACCAATACCATTGCTTCAACTTAATTTAGAACTCAGTGGCTCGCTGTACCTGCCTCGCATGTATACGAAAACACCAAAAGAACAACCCAGGTCCTGAGTAGCCATGGGTAATAAATGAAGCCAAGAGATCGGCTTGCCACAATGCCTTGAAGTCGGAATGGGTCGTACTGGCTAGACAACGCCGCAGGGCGGGAGCAAATGCAATGCGCACCTGGGTAATGCCAAATGCGTTAACCTACTAATAAAAGTGAAATAGTACGGGTATAGAGCGCCTATCGCTATTTCCCGTAGGCCGAGATCTCGCCAGCAATCGGCAGGTTAAACTCGATGTCAAAAACCTAATGGATAATCAATCACACGCCCGGACATGCATAGAGCAAACTCCACAGCCTCCCAACCCACCATGAATCCATCGACACCCATGGATTACATAACAAAAGCCCGGATGGTCTAGTGGTATGATTCCTGCTTCGGGATTTGAAATGCAGGAGGTCCCGCGTTCGAATCGCGGTTCGGGCCCGTAATTTTTTTATCTTGTTTATTTGCTTACTGTCACATGACTTAGCCCATGTGGCCTTCGTTTGCAGTTGCCTGTTTTGATCTCACTCCCACCGCGACAGGATAGATAGAGATCGATTTCTCTGGCGAGTCATCTCCGTGCTGACGCTCGTCCCTGCGTATGAGACATGCTCAGGAAGATGTTTCATAAGTTAGCCCGGATGGTCTAGTGGTATGATTCCTGCTTCGGGTCTTGAAATGCAGGAGGCCCCGCGTTCGAATCGCGGTTCGGGCCCTACTTTTTTTGCCTTTTTCCGCCTCTCCGAGGGACATGCGACCTAGTTCGCCTAGCTACTACTTACTACCTACCCTACCCCTTTTCCTTCCTTTTTCTTTTTGCAAGCTGAGAGAAATTGTTTGTTCAGTGCACTGCCACACTGTGATAGTTCCTCGATGAGAATATTATGAAGTAATCCAAACTCTATTATACTACTCGCGTAGAGCAGGCTAACCTGCATTTGTTGCAAGTTGTGCCTACTACTATCTACCCTGCTCGTCCAGACTCATGCATGAAACCTTCATCTTCGCTACTTCGTAGATATTATATGGCCTTTTACGGTCATGAGTACTACCCTAATGAAGCTCAACATTCGCTCTCACTTGCTCCTTTCTACCAGTCCTACCATCTCATGTAGCAGAACATTCATAATATGATTTGCTTCCAGGTGACTCAGATGTGAGAATAACTAGTGTCAAGGAACCTAGACCGGAGTAGTATAAGCTCTTCACATGCAAGTATCAGAAGGTGCCAAGAAGATCAGAGACACTATTCATTTTAGTTTCGAGTATGGTCTTGGCCTGGCCAGAGAGAGAGAGAAGAGATGGCACACATATCTAAACTTTTCATGATCATCTCAGAGTCAGCCACGATTATCTTCATGTGGGCTTAGGCATCTAGGTAAGCACTACGTTCGTGTTCGTTTTTGCTTTGGATTCACTTGGAAGGGACGGACGGGACGATCATGCAAAGGGTTTTTAGACTTTAGATAGATAGGTAGACAGGTGAAGGAAGATGAGTGGAACTATGAAATTAAGAGGAAAAGAAAAAAGTTGAGTGGGTATCTGCTGGCAAACCAGAAACTCAAATTGCCCGCCAGAAGTAGTAGTAGGAAATTAACATCAACATGCATCAGTGATCGTGAGAAGATTGCAGCGTATCCCAGGCGAGAAAGTAGACAGGGAGGTAGGTAGGCAGAGTTAGCCTGTTGTTGACTAACTGTTCTTGCGTAGATGGTAATCATGTCCAAACCGGCAATAATTTACAAGTAAATCCATAACGAGAAGCGTTACCACAGATTGGAGGAACTGCGGGAGGTGAACGATTGATGACTGGAAATGAACAATCCCCTCCAGACCAATCAGGCGTCCACAGATACTGTCGGACCAGGGGTGGGGAATGTGGCCGATTCCCTGGCCTCTGGATCTGGTGATTCGGCTCCTGTAGCCTTCCCATTCATTCGATCGAACTCGAGTGTTTCAGCCAGCTCTGCGGCCATTGGATCTAAATCTTCCTCTTTGAGACCGGTGGCAAGTGCTACCAACTTGCGATGGACATCGAACTTGGTGCTTACACCTGCATCGGCTGTCTGTTGGACAAGATCCTTCACGGCAGAGCGCCGAGCCTTTTGGGCAGAGCACAATTGACGAGCCATAAGGTATGTGCGACGTAGTTGGTCCTGGTCAGATCCAGTATCCCCCTTCTCGGGCACCGGCGTTGAGGCAATCCTCTCTCTGAGTCGAGCCTGGTGGATTTGCTCCAAGAGTGATTCGTAGCTGTTTTTCAATTGCTCGTAACGATCAAGCTGCGTGTCGATTGACTCTTCTTCGGCTTCTTTCGCTACCAGCATACCGACCTGTTTCTGGATCTTTTGTCGATCCGATTCAAGTTGCGCATACAGTGCCTCCGGGTTCGCAACATCGTCTGAATCTTGCTGGGTTGCCTTGGAGCTGCCATAGCTTGCGGTGAGTTTCTTGTTCGCTTCGGACATGATGACGGCGATCTTAGACATTAATGCCGAGGTAGTAGGGGAGGAGTCCTGCGGAAGGCTGGGAGGCAGGTGATCTGATGTAACAGGTGCCTTGATGTCCGGATCTAATTGATCATTACCCATCGTAATAGACGAAGGGGGAAGAGGAACGTCGCGCTCATTAGGTGGTACCCGTCGGACGATAGTTGAGGCTGCCTCGCCTTTGTTGTTTATAAGGTCACCAGCTCGCGGACACCGCGCGAGTAGTAGGTCAACCAAGCGAAACGCGCCATTTCGAGCGGCAATCAGAGCAGCAGTGTCCCCATTCTGATCTTGACAGGACAGTAATAAATCAACTTCCTCAGCCGAAAACGTAACGCGTAGCTTATCTAGCAATACTTCGCAGTAATATCGCGAGCTCTTCCATTTACCTTTGCTCCGAGTAGTTTCTGCTATGTGGTGGAATAGAGTAGCGCCGAACCAGTCTCGGAATGAGACTGTGTCCAAGAGAAGTTCTAGTAGCGGTGGAAACGTCCTCTTCTCATAATTGTTCGTAAAAAGCACGGCACGCACGAGAGGTGTCTCCTCCTGATCAGATAGAGCTCTGATATTTGCTCCTCTCCGTAGCAGATCCCTCACAATTTCTAGGTCACCCATGGCACACGCCCAATGGAGAGCAGTATTTCCAGAATCGTCAATTGCGCGGTCGACCTGGAAATTGGCTGGCGGTTGTGGGGGAGGAATGCGTGTCGCTTCCGGAGCATCCCCTACCGTCATAAAATAGTCCAACAGCTGATCACCATAGAGTATATGTTCTTGTTCACTGATTGAAATTGCCGGAGCCTCATTTATCCCACGCTTGCGCTTCCGTGAATATGTACCATTCTGAGACATTGCCATAATCTCTTCATCCGCGATCATAGACGACGACTCAAGCGTTGCTTGTTCTAAAGATTCATCCTCGTCGAATCCTTGGCTCATCTCATATGGCTCATAGGGATGATAGGGGGGCGGTGCCATATTTCGGTGCGGTTTTGGAGCAGGGACAACTTCTTCGGTTGCGACTCTCTTGTTTGTATTCTTTGGGGCTCTTGGCTTCGACGAGGCTGCAGTGGTATGTTTCGGGGCAGGTGGTGGACTGCGATCTCCAGCGACATAGTCGAATATCGGCCTTAGCTTGTCGATGATGTTGTTGCGCTCGGCGAGCATACGGCCCTCAGGAAGCGGAATCCAAGTCCCTGCATATAGTTATAGCACGGCAATGCGAGGCGATATTGGGAATTCTCGTCTTACCTTGATATTTTCCATAGCCACCTTGCACCTTTTCATGGACCCCTTTCTGCACCTCGCGTTCTAGGATGCGAGTCCTCGCAGGCTTGTCAAACCCGGCAACCTTCAGAATATGTGTAGCATTTATCCAGTCATCGGAACGTCTTCGCATGACACTGTCGCCATCGAGTTTGAACTCATAAACCGGGACCTAGCCACAAGTGTTAAATTGCTGTTGTAAGCCTCCTTACGGTGTTGTTCAACACGCCTCGTAAGACGAGGTTTTTGCAATACCAGAAAGGGCACGATGAAGGAGTACTCACACTGCTATAAGTAGCAGAGTAGACTTTGGAGAAGTCCACGGCCGCCATGATGCGCCTCTTGTAAGCCGATTCTATTCTGCGAGTTCCGTACGATAATAGGATGTTTCCGAGCGGCGTCGCGACTTTGGACACAAGGACATAAAAGTCTGAACTTGGCTACCGCAAGGCATCAAATTTCAAATTTGCCTGTTGCCTTAGTCAATCACATGAATCTCAGTGGAAAGCGAGCTGGGTTCGTCGTAGCCCAGCAACATCTATCTCAACACGCGACGGATGGCAGGGCTGGATAAGACGCGCTCCGGGTACGTTGACCGCGTAAAGTGGATTTGGATACGCTAAACCTGTTGTGGAACCAACAGCACGTGATATCACATGACTTATCGTCCGGAAGGAACGACGACTGCGGATAGCTGCAAACCTCATAGCCCAGTCGCCTATCCTTGGAATAACCTTCAATTGAGTCACCCCTCCGTGTCAAGATGACTGCCGCCGAGTCTGTGAAGAGTGCCGTTGGGCTTGCGGATAGCACCGGTATGTAATTGTTGCCATTGGCGTCTGATGTGACGGAAGGCAGTGATGTGAAAGTTGGCACCGGATGATTAACGACTAACGCTTGTCTTTAGCTGCCTCCCGCCAGGAAATGTCGGATGCTCGTCTTCCCCTCCAATACCGCGACTCTTGCGCAGGCCTCCTGATCCCATTGAACCGCTGCCGCCAGCAAGAATACTACCTTCCCTGGAAGTGCGAGGTGCGTTGTTTTCACTCTGGTTTATTCATGGATTACTGTTCATCTTGTCGTATATATAACTAACGCCATGCCTCTTTCCACCCAATAGGACGAGAGACACAGCTACGAGAAGTGCCAATACGAGGAGTTCAAGAAGCGTGTTGCTAAGATGGAAGAGCTCCGCGCCGCTAAGGGTGGTGCCCGGAGCAACTAATGATACCACAAATATCGGCACGGCATTCGAGACGAGCGAAGGAGCGGGTTATGTACATAGAGATTCTGAGATTGTTTGTCCATGCACCGACATTGGCGTTGGGAATCATCCAAGACTAGGCTTGCCGTCACCACACCTGCGAAAACCAGAACGGTCGATTGGCTAACCAGTAGCATCAACCGTACTTTTGGGGTTTTTCGGCTCCGATGCTGCTTGGGAGGTCTGGGTGGTGAAATCGTTAGCCACCCTCCCTCGAAAAGACAGCACTGGTTTCTTCGGGCCAGAAGGGACTCGGATCTGTCCCACCTTTCAACTTTGCAACATAATGAGAGCGATGATTTGTCAAGTGCAATTACCATAATAGTTTGCGACTTTGTCCGCGAGTGCCATGAGATGACATCTTAATGGCAGGCAGATGCATATCTAGCCATGGTGCAACACCCTGGAGATCATGATGGGTCTGTAAAGAGCTTCCAGTATGCTTTCTAATGGTCACGATATTCTTCATGCATCTTTCCGAAGAACTACATAGAGACGTATGGCCAAGTATATTTATCTGCTTGCCCTCCATACAAATCGGCCGCCGCGGAGCAACTGATAGTAGATATCACATGACCTCTAATCCCTCCACGTCTGCTTAGAAATCGGCGGCATTGATAATCACCGACCACTGCTTACTGCCCCGCCCGGCCTACCAGAAATGGGGGGAATAAGTTTCCCGGCCACCAATAGGCGCTTGAGCCTTTGTACCCGAAGGTTCGACAGAATTTCTCAAAGTCGGCAGGGTCAGCAGTTTGTTCATATTTAATCGATCAGTATCTGCTGCCGTTGTTGTTTGTGTAAAGCCGTTACGGGCGTGTCTTGAAGTCACGACATTGCGTGCCACTGACGTTGGCTTATTCTGCCGTGGTTCGGAGATACTGCCGGGAAAGTTCCCCTCATCTCCGCGGGGTTTCTGGATGGCCTGACCTTCGAACTTTTACTTCACCCAAAGCCACAGAAAAACCTTGGAACCTCAGACTGGGATTTGCAATTCAAAGTTCCAACTGTCTGGTGTTGACAACATGGGCTTGCTGTAGGTGGAGCGTGCTGGGTCAAAGCCGGATTTCATTGATGCGCAAAAACTAACATTGGCCGTTCCTTCAGAGCGCTTGGGACGGCTTTGGACTGGCCAGAAGCCAAGAAGAGAGCGGATCAGGTTCGCAAATGGGGCATTGAGGTAAGAAATTGATCTTGTGTTTGAATTCTCCCAATCATGTACTCTACGTGGGGTTCTTTTCTAACTGAGATAGCAATTACTTGCCAATTGGCATAGAGCCAAGGGAAAGGAACGGAATGCCCTTCTCTGGGGTGACGAGGTATGTCGCAATCTTCACATTGTTCTGTTTTAATGTTCGCTAATTGCTCTTTCTTCGTTAGGTCGAGTATCTCGTCGTAGCAGTCGATGATGAGAGCAAAAAGGCCCGCTTGTCTCTCGCTCAGGCCGATATCCTCAAGTCGCTCGCTGAGGACGAAGCATCGTGGAAAGAGGGAACTTCCCCTCTGTCTCAGAATAAGGAACAGTGAGTTGGGACTAGGGTTTTGGGAACACGAGAAGAGAATCTCTGACGGATCTTAGTGAGGGTGAGGAGCCACCTCATTTCCACCCTGAATTTGGCCGATTCATGCTGGAAGCCACTCCGGGTAAGCCCTGGGGCATCGACTTCAAGGATCTACTGAAAGTAGAGTCCAACATGAAGTGGCGGTAAGTTTTCGGTTTTCCCGGGCAAGTAATGACGTCTCTGATGGACATATAATAGGCGTGAGGTTGCAAAGGCTCACATGGCACCAAATGAGAGTCCTATCACCCTCACCACATTCCCTCGTCTGGGGACAAAAGACGATTATATTCAGCCTTATTATCCCCCATCGGGTCCCGCATTGCGATCTCAGTTTGTTCCCGACGAAATCGCTAACCCCCATATTCGATTTCCAACCTTGGCGGCCAATATAAGATCAAGGAGAGGCCGGAAAATCGAGCTGAATGTGCCAGTCTATAAGGACAAAAACACGCCCGATCCCTTTTTGGATCCGACTGTTAACTATGACCTCCACAACTGGCCCGAGGATGATGATGTCCGAAATGGCGCGGCTAAGGAGGGTCATGTTTACATGGACGCCATGGCATTCGGCATGGGGAGTTGCTGTCTCCAGATAACTTTTCAAGCGAAGAACATGACGGAAGGGAGAAAGTTGTACGATCAACTGAGTCCACTGGGGCCTATCCTTTTGGCTCTCACTGCCGCCACTCCGATATACAAGGGTTTCCTCGTCGACACAGATGTCCGTTGGAATCAGATCAGTGGAGCTGTTGATGACCGGACACGGGAGGAGCTTGGTGAACTTGTAAGATTCCACTCTTCTGTGTTGTTTGTTCCTCAGTCTCAAAAACCGTATTAACACCATGCAGCCCCTGAAGAATGATAGATGGAGAATCCCCAAATCCCGATATGCTTCGAACTCGACTTATATCTCACAAGATCCCAGATTAAGAAAAGAATATCTGGATCCCGATCTTATCGTTGATCAAGATATCAAGAAGCGATTGATGGATGACGGCATGGATGATCTTTTGGCGACACATTTCGCGCACCTGTTCATTCGTGATCCACTGGTTATATTCTCGGAAGATCTCGAGGAGCTGGACTTGAACAAAGCAGATCACTTCGAGAACCTGCAGTCGACCAATTGGCAGCATATGCGTTTCAAGCCGCCGCCACCTGACAAGGATGACATCGGCTGGCGAGTTGAATTTCGATCCATGGAAATCCAGATGACCGACTTTGAGAACGCCGCCTTCAGTATCTTTATTGTGCTTGTGACCCGTGCAATCTTGAGTTTCGATCTCAATTTCTACATCCCGATCCAGCGTACCACAGAGAACATGGAAACTGCGCACCTTCGAAATGCAGTGTTGGAACAAAAGTTCTACTTCCGCAAAGACCCATTCTCTCGTCGCAGACCGAACCAGCAATCGCCAGGTGGTAGCAATGTCTCCTCTACGACATCCTCTGCTCATAACACGCCACCTCCATCACCGCCACTACACCCAGTGGAGTCTGAGTATGATCTCATGACGATTTCCGATATTATTAACGGTTCCCCTGATGGATCATTCCCTGGATTGATCCCGCTCGTCGAATCTTACTTGAACAGTGTCAATGTGGATGTTGAGACACGGTGTTCTCTAGCCAGCTACCTTGACTTGATACGTAAGCGTGCGAACGGTACCCTTTGGACTGGAGCCAAATGGATCCGCGAGTTCGTTGCGTCACATCCTGGGTATAAGCATGACAGTGCTGTATCCGAGGAGATTTGCTACGACTTGGTGAAGGCTGTGGATGAGATGACTGTTAAAGAAGGCAAACACGGTACAGTTGGGTGGGAGCTCCTCAGAGGCAAGAAGAATTAGATGGCTGAAGACGAGTGTTGTTGCATATAGATGTAGATAGCGTGCTCTCCATATTTTTCTACAGTGAAGTGAACATAATTAGAACTTCCTTGTCAGCTGACTGAATTGGCAAGCCCTGGGGGACATCCAAGCATACTAATTAGACAATTATTTCAAGATTTATTTCTCGTAGTGCTTGTTGATGGTACTCCTTCACTTTCCTCAATGTGCTCCGCAAAAGGGCCGCGGCTGACTGCCATGTGATCCATCAATCAACTATAATCTTGACTTTCCTGTCTTGATTTATTTCAAACACCGTCCCGCTCCTTCGATGGCCCAAACTCCCCAATTCCGTCATCCAGGCATCTTTCGCTCCTGGCCACTATGGTAACAATATCTTCTCTTCCTCTGTTGGCTGCCGACATGAATCCGCTAGCCCTGTCACTTTCCATACACCGTTGACTTTATGAAGAACGAAAAGCTCAACGCCCACATGATGCACGACCCCATTGACCTTTGCCCGAAAAGGTGCCCATACTGCAGCCATGTTTCCAGGCGAGTATACCTTCACCTCTGGATCCCAGATGCGCTCGTCGATTTCGTCCTGAATCCGTGTCACTTGCTCCACGAAAGCCCCAATGGTACAAAAGCGAGGAAGGGTGGGGGATGGTGGCCAAACAGACATTCCTCCTGCCCGAACACAGTATTTCTCGAAGTCAACAGGATTTTTGGTTCTCAGTGCAGCTAAAAATCCATGAATGACAGCCATGACAGAATCAACTTCGTCGGAAGGCTCGGGCAAGCCTGTCAGGGGGACCGCCTGGTTTGGTATTATCCAATGCATACTTGATGCCTTCAAAGAAAATTTTTGAGGAACCGTGTCGAAAGATTTGTGGACACTGCTTCACTCGTCACAAAAGCTGGATTTTGATGAAAGGAACCCCGTCTTCACTTGCGCACCTGGAGATATTCAGACGGAGTCCAGAATTCAGTATGTTCCCCCTCTTTGCCCCAGTGTACTGGCATGATATGCAGTTTACTGGTGTGGCAAATAATCAGGATACGAGTCATCGAAAGCCTTTTTCTTTTAGGTATTTGGCAGATAGAGCATAAACTGGCAATCAGGCCATGGTCTATTGGAAGAGACACTGCATAATTTCAGGCGGCACTCGAAACAAAGGCTTAAGAAAAGGCCTGTACTGGCAATACTCTGATATAAGACCAACGAGCCAGCTGAACGTGTTACCGTTACAATGCCAATGATGGGCTTGTGCCACGAGTATACCCCTCGCTCCCGTCAGTGCGTGAGAGGGCCATGGGAAGCTTTTGCAAGCTCCTGATAGCATCTGCCGAAATTTTGGACGGCAAGTCAACGAAGCAGCATAAGATTTCCATGCATAACCACACTCTGCTTCGCACCATCGGTGTTGGATGGGCCTCTCGGAATCAGGAACAATAAGAACAGCGTCAGCTCAGCTCATATGCTTGTCCGACAGAACACCATAGCTCACACACCCTTCTTAACATGACCCTTCGTACGACTCTAGCCTTGGTGGAGACGTTCTCGCCTGGGCCCCTTCCTGTCCATGTACAACAATGAGAATGCCTTGCACCGGACGAGCTAGCCTCTATACGCAAAGCGATTCCTCGTCGGATGTGATTACAAAGCCAGCCTGTGTCAATGCCATAGCTTAGAGGCTTCTCTTATACCATTGGTAGAAGACAGTGAGAATTTTGCCTAATAAGAGCCACACAAGTAATTGGGTTATCTCTGAGCCTAAACATGCATGATGCATCTGCCAATTTTGGGCACTGGCGGTCAAGCGACCCGCATGTCTCTTTTCTCTCTGGCGCCTCGTCTGCCATTCCCGTCTTCCACATCTCTCTGTATCGCGTCTGCTTCCATGTCGGGTCTGCTTCAGGGTGTAAACACGATCAGCTTCCGCTCTTTGACTTATATACGATGCACCAGATTTATTTATTGCGCCGGCATGAGGTCAGTCCACATCACCACAAGCTCACCGTGAACGGTGCTCATCCAGCCGTCGCGTGAAATTACCTTCCGGAAAGGCCCCATACAACTCACGCTCCGGCAAAATAATCGGCATGTCTACAAATCAAGACTCGGCATTTGGACGTCCTCGATCTGCCATTTTGACCATGAGGTCACTGTGCCAGCTGTGTCCTATGACTCTATAGCTCCACATCTCGGTCGACAATCCTGCCAGGAGCGAGTTATATATGGCGGTTGAGCCTTCAATGCCGCGATTCCCCGCATTCCTCACCCCATGTTCTCCCGGCAGAACCCCGGAGACAACCCCCACTAATGCACCAGGTGCAAGCTGGCATGGATTGAATTATCCGGGGTGCATCCATCCTAGTTCCCCACATGTTGGACCCTTTCCTTATAATGGCCGCCCCAGCAAACCCCCAATTGCTGTCGGGCCAGCGCAGATAGCAAATATTTCGTCTGTTTAATGATGCCAAAACTCGCTGTTGCTCTTCTCGCGTTACTTGCCGTGGGCAATGCGGCGCCAACTAAAGTGGCCCGCTCCGCAGCCAGTCCTACGGCCCAGGTTCGCAACGGCACATATGTTGGAGTGACGAATACACAATACCAGCAAGATTTCTTTCTGGGAATGCCGTATGCTCAGCAACCTTTGGGTGACTTGCGATTCACGGTGCCTCAGTCCTTGAATGAGAGCTGGAGTGGAGAGCGCGACGCAAAGGAGTATTCCGACATCTGTGTAGGATACGGGGTAAGTGCGCAAAGCCTTCTTCAAGCTGATCCTGGCATTATAGGTGTCAGCTAATGGGAGTATCTGTTAGACCGATTCAATTTGGTACCCACAGTCCGAAGCGTGTCTGACCTTGAATGTCATCCGCGATTCTTCTGCAAATGAGAACTCGAAGCTCCCTGTGGGCGTTTGGATACATGGCGGTGGTTTCTATGAGGGATCCAGTGCTGACCAGCGCTACAACATGTCCGCGATTGTCGCCAACTCCTATAAAATCGGTATGTCTACGTTTAGGGTTGTGGAGTTATTCTGACTTGTGACAATCGCATTGTAGGGAAGCCATTCATTGCAGTCAGCTTAAACTATCGCCTTTCGGCATGGGGCTTTTTGAGCTCCAGTCAAGTCTGGGGCACTGGGAATACCAACCTAGGCATCAGGGACCAGAGGCTAGCACTCCATTGGATCAAGGAGAATATTGCAGCGTTCGGAGGAGACCCAGAGAAGATCACCATCTGGGGCGAGTCCGCCGGGGCGATGTCCGTTGGCTATCACCTTGCAGCATACGGCGGGAGAGACGACGGGCTCTTTCGTGCAGGCATCATGGAATCGGGAGCGACTATTACTGCTAGCCCAGGCAACTATACCGGGTACCAAGCGCTCTATGATGAGCTCGCGGCCCAAGTCGGTTGCTCCAATGTAGTAGACTCTTTGCAGTGTCTGCGCGAAGTTCCCTTCGAGAAATTGAACGCTGCTCTCAACACCACAAGTGGCAACTCGGAGTTCAACTTCGGGCCTGTCATTGATGGGGATATTATCAGAGAATGGGGTAGCCTCCAGCTAGACAAGCACGAATTCGTCAAAGTCCCTATTCTTGCAGGTACCAATACCGACGAAGGAACAGCCTTCGGTCCCACGGGTATTAACACGACAGAGGAGTTCTATGCATATCTAACAGGTATGTACGATGATCAGTTGAGATACTGAAAGAACCCCAGGACAGCAAAAGGGCTAATCTCACATGCAGATGGCGAATCTGGATTCCAGCTACCCCCCACGATCGCCCAGGAAATCCTGCAGCTCTACCCCGATGATCCAGCACTGGGTATCCCCGAATTCCTCGGAGACAGTCGAGTCCCGTCCGAAGGCTACCAATGGCGGCGCACCTGTGCATACGCAGGGGACTATGTAATGCATGCCAACCGGCGGCGACAATGTGAGGCGTGGACAGAGACCTCGACGCCGGCGTACTGCTATCGATTCAACATGCGCGCGGCCGATGTCCCCATCCTGTCTGGCGCCACCCATTTCGAAGAGGTTGCCTTTGTGTTCAACAACATTGCAGGACTTGGGTACCATTACGGAAAGCCATTCGCAGGGATGCCCGAGTCCTACGTACAGCTAAGCAATTTGATGACCAGCATGTGGGCATCGTTCATCCACGATTTAGATCCTAATTCGGGCATCAAGGACTCCGATGTGCAGTGGCAACCGTACGGGAAGGATCAGCCGGTTGATCTGGTGTTTGATGCGAATGTCACGAGCTACAGCTACATGGAGCCAGACACGTGGCGGAAGGAGGGGATCGACTATATCAATTCCGTGGCCAACGCGTACTGGCGATAAGCTTCCTGCTATCGAGAAACCACATGTGATGAGCATGAGAGTTTTTTGCCTTCCGATCGATGTTGCCTGCGGAGAGGACATAAGCCAAGGCAAACAAGGATGGTAGAGGGGGTGCGAGCGCATTCAAGTCGGCCACGGTTGTTGATTGACGGTTCCCTCGTTTAGAGAGCAAATACAGATGCCATACTTTTCATGCAGCAAACCCAGTTTTTCCAATCGGATGGTACAGTAGATCGGTTCCGAATTGTAAAAAGGCAAGATCATACGTAGTTGTTACAAGAGAAAACCAAAGAACCTACAACATAACATAACAGCATTACGAATTCCAAATTACCAAAAGCCTGTATGACAAAAACCAAGCAGACACTAGTTAGAGCTTCTGGTCGGATGTACCTGCGATGACCTTTGCACACGCGTGTGGTGTTCGCCCATTGTACCAAGGCCAAGCCAAACGGCCAAGACACGGAAATAACAAGAGCGAGAACCGCTTCCCCCTCCAAGAATCAAGAAAACCCAGGGGGGTAAAAAGAGAATGTGGAAGCGATAAAAGGGGTCTTCTTTTTTCCATTCCTTCCATTGTCTTTCCTAGAGAGGGAGGAGAGTCGGCGTTCATTGTCAATCAGCAGAGTGTTCGCCGTGCCGAGTGTGTAGTAAGTAGTCTGTATCCGGACCATCGGGGACATGATTATCATACGATCCATAACCAAGTCCCCGATTGTAGTACGGCTACCAAAACAAGAATGATGGAAATATTGGAGCATGACAGAAAAATAAAACAATAACATTATTATAATAATAATAATACTAACACTGAATGAAAAAAGGGAAAAAAAATTTCAAGCTCGGCAAGTGAAAATTTCCCCCTGGTCTTCTTGTTGTAGGTTCACCAATGACAGCGGATCCCCGATTTTGACATCGATGGGGACCCTCTCTCCCCTCTCTGTCTCCCCGTGGCTGTCATGGAGGGGGAGAGAAGAGGGGGGGTTGTGTGTGTGTGAGTGTGTGTGTGTGTGTGTGTGGAAGAAGGGAAGCTGTCATATCCTTTCCCATTGTGGATAGGCCAGCCAGGGGTCTGACTCTCCCCTCGGGGTGTATTCTCCCTTTCGCTTTTTCTTCTCTCCAAACTTCTTGGTATTCCGTCAACCGGCAACGATCGGGGAAAGGTCGAAAGTCTGAAGGTATGGTTCCAGATGAAAGGCCGTGTGAGAATCTTATCCAGAAATTCTATCTTACTCCAACCATCGGGTTCGTCCCCATCCCATCGATTTAGTTCGACTAGTTGATCTAAACGAGGGAAGGAATGCGTGTTCCAGAACAACTACCCACTGGCTTCTAGGTTTTTTTGCAAAGTCGGTAAAAATTACCTGATTGCAGAAATCTAACCGTGGAACGAATGTTCAGTTCCCGAGCCATTCATCCAGGGGAGAGAGACGGCTGTGATGGAGAACTTTGAACATTCCAGAACAAACAGAGCGACTTAACT